GTTTGGGAGTGGGGGGGTTCGGGGGCATGGGAGGGGGGCGCCGACGTGGACCCAGAAGAGGAGAAGACATGATTCACCCTCTTAGGTGAGTGTTTTAAATAGTTACAGAAGAAGAATTTAACATGATTGAGTGCATTTGTTACATGAGTGTGTGTGCCACAGTGTCTGTGCATGTGCATTTTTGTGGGAAGAAATCTGTTATGTTACTTTATGTTATGTTGATGGCATATCCTTACTAACAAAACAACATGCTTGTAAAATATCTCAACCTGATTTCTATCTTGTATTTCAGAGTTTCTTTAGAAGACCTGTACAATGGCAAGACAAGTAAATTACAACTCAGTAAAAACATCATCTGCAGTAGATGCCGAGGGTAAGTCATGGCTTATTGAGGAATCTGGTATACTTAAATTAAATTAAATTCAATCCCCAGAAATTCTTAGGGGAGAGGTGCTCCTAATCAGTTGAGGAAAAAGTCAGGGAATTTTCAGGAAATACTAAGAGAAATCCTAAATTTCAAGATTTTGGGAGAGGTGCTAGGATTTTGGGGAGAGGGGGTCACCCTTGCTTCATTGCTAGGGGAGAGCCCCCCTTTCATGTAATCATGCAAACCAAAGAGGTAACAGCATTTAAATGCTGCAAAAACACAAATAGTATCAGTCAAAAATTCAAGAAAAGAGAATACCTTTAGAGTTGTCAAGTCAGCTATAATGTTTGGAGATGACAGCACTATATCTACATGTACCTATTGTCTCTGCTTCTCATGTAAGGTGACCATGTGAAGCCCTCTAACTGGTTATAATCTTCCAGACAAGGGGGCCGACCAGGCGCTGTCCAGCCCTGCCGCATATGTCAAGGTCGTGGAGTCAAGGTCACCATCCGTCAGCTGGGGCCAGGCATGGTACAGCAGATGCAGTCAGTCTGCTCCGACTGTAATGGAGAGGGTGAGTTGAGGGTTCAGAGATTAGGTCTCATAAGAAGTAATGTACAAAAGAAAATGTATAGACATTACATTGCAAGGGTGGGTTATTTGGTAGTCAACGGTCAAGGCGAGGTTCAAATGGTTCCCAAAAATAAGACGTTGTGGTGAACTTTCGTGCAGTTACAGTTAGTGGTGATGTGGGTGGCAATGGCAATGATGATAACTGTGATATGAAAATGATGAAAATATTATCATTTTGGGAAAATCAGAGCCCCAGTTTTGTCACCTCGAAGTATCATGTATAGAAACTGTTTTTTGTGGTTTCTGGTAATAGAAATTACACTTGTCGCTTCAATGTAGAGAGTTATTTTTGTGTTGTTAATGTGTACCTTTGTTTTGTGACTCATTTTCAGTCAGGAATGAGCTAAAAATGAAAATTGTAGAGTAATGCATCTCCACATGTTCTAACATTGGTTTACAGAGAACTTTTTTGTTAGTAACCCGTGTTTAATCTATGATTTAATCTTCAATCTTTCCAGAGTTTCTTCACATTTTTGTTAGTAATCAGTGTTTAATCCATGATCTTCACACATTATAACCTGCAGGAGAGGTGATCAATGCTCGTGACCGCTGCACCGCCTGTCAGGGCAAGAAGGTCGTGAAAGAGAGCAAAATTCTGGAGGTTCACATCGACAAGGGCATGAAGAACGGACAACGCATCACCTTCAGGGGGGAGGGCGACCAACAGGTGGGTTATACCACTCGGTAGGGGTAGGGGGACGAGCATGTTTTCTGTATGTGTCAATCTCTTTATTTCAGTTATAATGTATGAAGTTTAAGAGACAATGCAGTTTTTAGGGCTTGAAAACCAAATTTTTTCAAAGTCAATATTCTAGTCACTTATCTACATAATTACTAAGTTCAAGCAATGCTTTCCCAATATATATTGACATTCATGGGGCAAAAATGCTGACAGAATTGTGACAGAAAACGGTTACTGGTAGGATCCTGTGCTGATTTGGGGGGTACCATCTTCATGTTCCTTTTCGTCTTTCGGGGTACCACTCAGAAAAAAAAAGGACTCGGCTTATTTCTGCACTCTTAAATGCCCAAAATATGAAATATTTATGTGAATGTGTTAAAGTGGGGCAGTAGTGTTTATATTATACAGATTGCCTTATTCAGAATATATTTCCAGTATTGACACCCAGAAATTGCATTAAACCATGTTCCCAATTTTGTAATGTGTGTTTAGATAAAAAACTGACCAGTTTTTATCCCTCCCTCCCTAGCCCGGGGTTGAAGCCGGTGACATCATCTTGGTTTTACAAGAGAAGGATCACGACAGATTCCGGCGCGACGGTCCCGACCTCTTCCTCACGCACACAGTTGGGCTGACGGAGGCGCTCTGTGGCTTCACGCTCAACGTTAAGCACCTAGACGGGAGAAATTTGGCTATTAAATATCCTCCAGGTTCTGTCATAGAACCAGGTATGTGATTGTGTGATCTCCTGGTGTACTCGTGTAGGTGACTGTCAGGTGTAGACTTGAATAACAGATGCTGATATTTATGTTTAACGAAGGAAAACAGTTTGTTTTTTTCTGTTTCTTCTTCCGTTCCAAACACTGACCTGGTCAGTGACCTGAACCAGATGGTCTGTTACCATGGTAACTGGTGTTGGGTTACATAATGTTGCAATTTTATAGTATAAAAGATTTAGACTCCTGTCACCGTATATCTAAATGTGTTTGAGTAAGAATTAACAGAGCAGACCGTATGTGAAGGTAAACATTATACATTTGCTTTGCAAATGTTACTTTTCTAGTTACAACTTTGTTAAGTTTACCTGTAAACTATACTTCATGACCTTACAAAAGTCTATGTCCCATTATGGTTTGACATAAACATTTGTTTTGGTGTTTTTGCAGGCTGTATCCGGGGGGTTGTCGGTGAGGGCATGCCGATCTATAGGAACCCGTTCGAGAAGGGAAACCTGTACATAAAGTTCGACATCAAATTTCCAGAGAATAACTTTGTTGATGAAGCAAAAATGAAGGTAACTAAGTAACCTTACACATTACACCCTCCATTCCTCTGGGTCTGAGTTGTCTACATTTGATCTGTGATACCCCTGCCTCCGACAAATTTGTATGGAACTACTGCCTACCCCTGAGACAGGGAAGTCGGCAGTATATTGAAAGCCTGGATATGTATGTATGTATGTATGTAACTGAATGAGATGTTGTTTTGTAAAGCCAACAAAATTCTTATCTTGAAAGTTCGGTGTTGGTAAAAGTCATTATGAAGCTTGATTGAACTGTGATTGCCGACACAATTTTGTTTTGGCAATTAGAGTTCAATCTAGTTTCACTTACAAAATTCTGTTGTAAGGCAGCCTTTAGATTCTCAGTTAATGATCCAAGCTGTTTTACAAGCAAGAAAACTGTCCCATGCCCTTTTCCATCCTCTACATCACTAAGACCCCGTTCAGACCAGACTTTTAAAAACCGGTTGTAACCGCTAAATAGTTAGCGGGGAAAATCCGACTAAAACTCCTAGCGTTCACACCAGACTTACAAAACCGGTTTTTCAAAAACCCTGTCCGGCGAATATCCGGTTAATCAAATCTGTGTGTTCCCCAGACCCTGGAGGGATTGCTGCCGCCCCGCCCCACCATGCCCCACCCCGCGGGGGATGTGGAGGAGGTGGACCTGATGGAGTATGAGTCCACCAGGGGAGCGCCCGGCGCAAACAGCCGCGAAGCCTACGACTCCTCGGACGATGAGGACGGCCCCAGGGGCGCCAACGTTCAGTGTGCGCATCAGTAGCCGTGTTGCCATGCCAACGCAGCTTCTGTACCAGCATGTACTTATAGAGCACTTCTTGTACCAGATGTCAGAAGAGTGGGGAGGGGGGCTGTCGTTATAGTTAGGCCACATGGACTTGATTTTGTGGAGGACTGTCTGTGGATGCCTTGATTTTAGCCCAATCCTAAAAAATAAAGAAATTGTTGTCATTTTAACAGACGGGCAGGGAGCATATTTGGGACCCCTTCATGGAATCATCACAGAATGGGAAATACAGTCAAACATTGTGGCCACTCTTTGGTAGTCCCTTAGATTTACCAGCTTCCTCTATTTTTCGTAATTGTCTTGTAACTGAGCATCTGTCATGAAATGTCTACTGCAGACAAAATTTCCCACCCAAACTCCCACAGAATTGTACCTATAAAATCCAGCTTATGTGGCCTAGTAACAGTCCATGCTGCACGTACATGTATACAGATAGTCAGTCTCATGGCATCATGGCTACTGTACTTGTCATAATGACAGTTTTAGACCCTCACTTGTGAGTATACTAGTAAAATAAAGGCTGCTTATACAGTTCTGGGGTTGCGAATGCTTGCAACCCAGCAGACATGCATAGACTAGTATTGTGGGTAAATATTTCAGATTTGCCTAATGTATGAGTACATAATTACCATGTACAGTTGTTAATAAGAAATAGGTATCCATAGAGAAAACTGCTCAGCAGGCAATGCAAAACATGTTGTTGACAAGAGTGAGTGAAATGTCTCAAAATAGTCCCACTTTCATGTACACTTAACCACAGTGGTCGCACCTTGGGCTGCACCAATGCAACGACTTGGTCCTCAGCCTCGCGTTGTCTCAAATTGTAATGCATCAGGGAAGATTTCAAGCCATTTGCTGTACTCATGACAAATGAAGACATTGATTTCTATTGCGGTATATTGTTTTGTGATAAACTGATAATGTATGTAGTACTTGCCCTCGGAATGTATCGGAAACACATTAACACGTTTGGGAGTTACACGTTAACCCTAATAGTGGGTCACAATTCACCTTGTAATTTTCAATACTGTATGTCCAAAATCTAAGTTATTATGTTGAAGTGGCCTTAACAGATTTTGTTTATATATTGACTAAGTCTTATTGTCTGTAATCTCTGTCTTGGGTATAGCCTGTGGTCAGATTTATAGAACCTACATGTATATGTACATGTTCATTACTTTAAAAGATTGATTTTCAAAACTGAATGCATGGTACATGGTAACCATTCCCATGGTGATGTATTTCTATGTTTGTCCCCATGTTGTGCTTAGTTACCCTACAGGATGGCTCATATTTGAGAAGCATTATGGTTATAATAGCTGCTTTTTCTTGATCCGTTACACTGATATCATAATTTTTTATGCCAGTCAAAATAGATAATACATTAACGTCACCAATGTTTGCTTATTCTTTCATACACTCAATTACTTCCCATTGCTAAAATGTTCTATACAATATTTTTCACAGTTTGTACTTGTACTCAGATCTCAACATAAACTTTATGCAACTTTGTGTAAATGCAAATTCCACTGTTCCATCATTGTGTTTTTTGTGTGTATCTGTGAGGACCAGGAATAGTATTGGAGTGGCCCAAAGGATTTCTGCAGAAATGGGGAACATACATGTAGTGTCTGAACTGTGTACAAATGTATGAGTTGAGTCAAGTATCATTGCATCTTATTGTACACCAATAATTCAGGGGAAAAGTTATTACATTGACGTTATTGTACTTTTGTTGTTATGATAGAAAGTAGGCTAAGTTTAACTTAACATTGTTTTCCTTGACAATACAAAACAAAGGTGTCCAATTCCTCTTGAAATGTACAAATGAAGGGAAGTTCCATTATTTCTGTAGGTTTTAGTTTTGTTTTCATGTTAAACTAACTTCTTGGTGTGTACTTCTACACTTACAGTATGTATCATATGTACAATGGAACACTATAGTTGCTTAGTATGGCTGACACTCGAATGTCCCCAAGAATGGACTTCATGTCTCAATCAATAAAAGTTGTTTTACAACCAAAAGAAGGCCTGAACATGCCCCCTAAAAGTAAATACTCTTTTAAAAAGTTCATACTGACACAGATGTTGAGGGCCTATTAGTAAACAAAATGACAAAAGCTGCATATACCAAGGCCCTAATCTCCAAGCACATTGTATGTACAAGTAAAAAAAACTAATTTTTCTGACAGCTATACTTCTTTGACAGTCATCCACCCGACATCTGCTTGTCAACATTGTGAAAACCCTGGTATATGTATGTCAAATGTGTGGACTCCTGTCTGGTGAAGGGAAGGTGGCTTGTGAATAGCAAATGCTTGATGTGCAGCATTTTTTGTAAGAAAATTGTTCAAAATGCTGCAAGAAGAATTACAATACAAGTGTTAATAGTTACTGTAAGTTCTGTTTTAATTAACCATGTAACTTAATACACAACAGATATGTCTTGTTCTTTGCTTATGGTTGTCCTGAAGGAAAGTTATGTCATATACAATATGCACATTTTTTGTTGCTTTTGATGTTTTATTGCATGCAATAGAATAGTATAAGAACACTTGTCTCTGAAGTATTGGCCATATTCCTCTGATAGATTTATGTTTTTACCTATCAGTATGAAATAAACTTCGAGAACAGATAAAATAAAAAAAAATTGGCTTTTTCATTCATCAGTAAAAATTGTATGACATCATGTAATATGTTCCCAATTGGCTACAATCATATCCTAATTGTCAGCTGTAATCGCCTCAAATATATTTCAGGAGATGTTGCCATACGTTTGAATTCCATCGACTTCTAAAAATGGACTGGGAAAGTCAATGAGTAATTCAAAAGAGGATACAACTAAGAACATATGTCTCTAACGTAGATAATTGTGTACACTCGACTGTTTAAATATCGTATAGACGTGCACATACTTGTTTGAGATGGGCCCTTGACGTCATACTGCAACGTCACCGCCCCAGACTCAAGATGTACACCTGTTACTGGTGTGTCCGATCCGAACACATGGTCAAGTAATACAACTGTCCTGCTTCGGGTCAGGATGGGTCTTTGAAAACAACCCCAGTCAAGAAAATAATTCTATGAAAAAGGATCAACGTATATTTTTAAATTTTGTTCAGGATAGTACGGTTTACTATGGGGAAAGTCTCAAACTGTATACAATGAAAATGTGCATGGCTTGGTCCAGAAAAGCATTCTATAATACCAGTGGTTTTTTATAAGAGTTCCGAAAATCGCAGTAGGTGATCATAAAATGTTTTTAAAACTATTACAATGTAGCACTCAACATCTCTGCGCTTTACACGTGACTACAGGTACAGCTCATTGTCTATATTTAGCTCACGGGACTTTTTACTGAGCAGGCGCGAATTGCGTCATGAGAGGGCAGGCGAGCGCGAGCTGAGAAGGAAGTCTAGTTCTCAGCGCATGATTGTGCCAAATTTGCCGAAAAGAGGAAACGCTGGTTCGAGCGGGAACTACAAAGGTAAGACTGGCCCCGTTAGAAGTTGCTTTTGGCAGATTTTAAGGGCGGGAGATGTCAATTTTCGGGCCGTTTCCGATTTTTAGTGTTAATTTTTACTTTCACTTCCGCTTTTCACTCGGCCTATATAACCAGTCTAATAGTTTTGAAGGCGCAAATATCTGACGTTTCATCTTCATAAATTTCTTATATACACAGAGTGTATAAACACAGAGATACCATGTGAAAGAAAAAATTAGGTACTTTGAGAGTTGATAAAACAAACAGCGTTGATACATCGTCTGGTGCACTCAGAAAGTGTAGTAGTTTTAAGGTAGAGTCGTCGTCGCACCATGAATGTTCATCGCGGGCCGTTTTCGTTTCCACGCGGGATTTCACGTGGTATGTAAACTTTGTGAATTTCTGTGGACTAGACAGCAAGGACCAACCGCGATACTATATAATTGTGGTTTACGCGTGAGCGGTATCCAGAAACGGTACTGGCAACAGAAGTCGTTTGGGGAGTCCATTAAGTACTCAGAATGAACTTTGAGTTTGACTGTGCCATGACGGGGCAGGTACCGAATCAGTAACCAAGAAGCTAAATTGCAATAACCAATGTCCTTGCAATAGTCTAACAGATTATACTAGGCTAGATGTTTGCTTCAAACCTAATGATCTTTGATTCTTACTGTTTTAGTCTTCCAGAAAGTTGACGTACATTGCCACATCAGATGAAACACAGATTCTAAGAATCACATGGATAGAGAACGAACAGGTAGGCTCAATTTCGTTGTGAAAATCAATTTCTATGCGTGGCTACGTCCCTTCTCTAGACTCTAAATTTGTGTGTAAAGATCGACTGCAAAAGTTACTAGTACATGACGATCTTCGTGGGGACTTGAGCACTTGATTGCTAGTAATTTTAGTTTCACGGTGCATTAAAATGCCTGTACCTGTCAGTGGGGATAGAGTATTGAACAGACTCCCTCATGTCGTTTTGTTTTCCTTTAATGTACTGCCTGGATCAGGACGTACAATGAACCGTACCGAGGTCAGAGGCAGTGGGAACATTGTCATTACTGCAGGAGACAATGCTGTCATTACTATCCCTCCACAAGGCCATGGTAGGCTTGCTTAACTATCATTCACATCATATTGTTATAATCAGTGTTTTGAGGCAGCTTATATCCAAAAGTTTGAATGAGTGTTGTGTGCATGGGAAAAATGACATTTTACATTGTTTGGGTCAGGACAATACACAATCATATAATTGCGTACCAAAACCAATGTTGTGATACTGTCCTCACTGTAATCAGCAACGTTGGGTTAAAAGTTACCTGACTGTACAAACAATTGTAAATTGGTGGTAAGACAGAATAGTGGATGCAAAGGAGTGACTTGAGAACCTTTTTTTTTTTTTTTTGAAAAGTACACTGTATCATTGTATAAGTGTTGACATAGGTCAACATTCCATAATGCAGCACCACTGCATGAAATATATTATGTATAGAAAAATTTCAAACAGGTAGGACTATGAACACCATTATGAATATCATAATGATTTTAACTTAGGGTGACTGGGTAACATTTTTCTATGAGGAAAATAAACTATACCTGTCATACAACTGGATCCATGCAGAATGTGTTAACAACATTTTTGCTGGTATTTACAGAATACCCAGCCCCAGCTGGTTCCTCTGATGCTGATACAGAAGATAGAGAGGCCTCCTTTACATATGAAGACCATTCTGGTAAGCTTGAAGTTAAGAAATAAAACTTGGTGGCACATGGTGAACCTGTAAGTAAGATATGTGATAACTGGATTGATATAACGAGTCAGTGTTCACACAAGGTTTTTTTTATTACCCAGGGGTAAATCACTACCAAAGCTCCTTGTGAGGTGGTTTTTGAAGAACGGGTTGAAACCCTTAAAGAACCGGTTGATTTGCATTAACACCAGGCTAATTCAACCGGTTTACTCCCAAACCGGTGAATTCATTGGGTTTTATGAAGTCTGGTATGAACTGAGGCCCACTGTTCACCATATGGAGTTTCGAACAACTGATTGGGATGTCCCGGACCTAATTTAGATCATGACTGCATTACTTTTTTTATGTTACAAAAGTTCTGATTGTTTTTTTTAATAATCTGATTTGTGTGCAATTGCAATGCCTTTTTGCCTCAAGGTACTGGTAACGAAAATAGAGGAGGATATGATCAGGATCCTTCATCTGCACATCCAAGACAACCTCAGGCTCAGAGTCCTGCATCTCCTGCCTCTTCTCCAGATTCAAGGTACAATGTAATGTCTTCTCATTAGAAGTCATTCTCCACAGATTTTTTTTGATGTCTAATTAGGCTACAAATGTTTATTGTGGCATGAAAAAAACTACTGTACATGTATTTTTTTTTTGTTCTGCTGATATTGAATTAAGGCTTATAATCCAGCCATGCAGCTATAGGTTAATTGGTATGAAGAGTTGTAAATTAAGGGTAATTTGAATGGTGTCAGGAATAAAATTGGACCACTTTCCACCATAGGACACAGGACTTACTGGATGAGTGTGTCAGCACATTGCTGGAGATGGGGATTTCTACTGAGCTATCGGCACCGATAGTACGAGAACTGATCAGTATAACCGATAACAGTAAGTCAGATCCAAATTACATACAACACTGCCTCTGATAAACACGTTTTGTGCTCAACAAAGAAGTTGACTGTTGACATATTGACTTACAGCAATACATTTAGTCTAGTAAGACTAAATGTAAATGTAACAAGTAATCAGTGTAATTGTTTTCATTGCTTTTTGATGTTTGTGTGGACAAAATACCTGAAAATATATGAATTTTCATATTCTATTTGAGTTGGCCTAGATCTACCTACATTGTGAAGGAAAGAAGTAGTCTGGGTTCCATCCTATTTCTATACTGGGGCTCCCACACTTTCCCCCACCTGTCCTTAAGTCACTGTCTAGTGTGCCTGTAGTGTGCATTGCTGGTGTTCATGAAGCCACTTAATAATAACAAGGCATAATGTCCTTGATTCCAACAAGGCTGGAACAATTTTTCAAGGAAACCCAAAGAAACTATGTAAGACGTAACATGATTGCTTGACAGCTTCCCACAAGTCGAAGCAATTTCTCTGATTGGCTGACAGCTCACTAGAGTCCACATGCCCTGAATAGCATCCAAGTGCTACCCCAGGTCAACACTGTGTGAATCAGTTTTGGAGCCTATGAGTATGATAAAAATTTAGTTTAACTTTTCCTCCATTTCAACTTGATACAGGGCAAAGGGACAGAGACCTTATAGTTGATAGGACTTTGCAGAGACTAGAGGAAAACAGACCAGAAGCAGTACCAGAAGCAGTACCAGAAGCAGGTAATGTTGATACTGCAGTGAGAGTACCATCATCATACAGCACAATTTTGCAGAGTAATAAATTGAATATATAAAATTAATATAATAATAATTAATAATAACACTAGAGTGCTACCATCATCTTTCAAGATGGAAAGATGCCTAAATGCCCACATATACATGTGTACCAGTAGTATTATAGGTATACAATTTTTTTCACCTAGTATAACTGTATTTTTTACCTGTGTGTGTGCAAAATATATGACAAAATGTTAACACATGCAGAGCTCATATTCACACCACAATCGGGCTGGAATAGGGATGCGCTTGTTTTCTGCTTGTTTTCTTCCTCTATTATGGCCTTTGTTTACCATTTATTACAGTCAAAAAATTATACTAGTTTATAAATTGTGTGCTCAACTTGATATTTTGCAGCAGGGTACCAGACCAATTTTGGAAAAGATGGGATCTTCATCTATAAGAACACAGCCCCAGTTGTGATTGGAAGTCACATCAGTGGAGCTGGCCCACTAAACTTGGAGGATACCCCAGATAGTGATCACAAAAGGTTTCAGAAAAGACGTGACAAGACTGGAAGACGCCAAGAAACAGCCTCAGCAGCAAGGCAGAGACCAAACTCCAAACAAAGACAGCCAGAACAGGATGCATACCTTAATAACACTACATGTGCAGAAATAGCAAGCTCTCAGAGGAACAGGGAGCTGATGGAGAACCTACCTCCTAAGACAGCAGCACGTCAGATAGCAAGGGAAACCCAACAAAGTGATGAACAACACTTTCCACCCATTTCTGATGACGAAACATCTTCATCGGAGGAGTCAGAAGCCTTGTCTGACACTGATGGGGAAGCTCCCAAAGAAGATGAGAAGGAGGATACAGAGGGTGATTCTGGGAGGTATACCCAGCAGGGCACCTCCAGGCCTACATTTGATGATGTGGATGGACAACTGAGTGCTGAGGAAGATAACCAAGCTACTGATGGGGAGCCCAGGAGAAGAGGTCCTGAAGATGATTCTGGAAGGGAGGTGTCTCAACAGCATGATGAGGAAAGCATCACACCTGAGAAGGCTCCTTTGTATGTTGCTCTGCCTGAAGAAAAAAGTCCTGCAGAATTGTCTACAACAGAGAAGCAGCAGTGGAGTACCCCACAAAATCCACCAGGTGGTTCTCTACATACTCCAGATCACAGTGGCGGGAGCCCCCAAAGTATGGATTCTCTGCGTGTTCAAAGTGGTTACAAACAGGATAATGAGGCATCGAACTGGCCTGTGGTTGAGCTACCCAGAAGTGCTGATGAAGAGGATGTTACAGTAAGACCACTTGTCGAGCTTTATCCACATCCTGGCATAAATGACACAATCATGGATGACTCAATTCCTTCCTTAGAGCAACAACCGCTAACCCCTCAGCCAGCAGCTCCTCAGCAGCAAGATGGAAATGAGGGACTAGCAGACCCCAGAGAAAATCAGCCACCTGCAGTCTTGACATCTGGAGAAGAAAGGCCACAACCAAGAAGCATGGAGGCTCAGGATACAAGTGATGCAGAAACAGAACCAAAAGGTCTACTGGATAAAACAAACACAGATGAAGGGGTCAGAGGAGCGGCAGGCAAGGAAGACCACCAGAATGTCACCCAGCAGGTTACCGGTAGTGATGACACCGGTGGCAACCAACCAGAGTACGACAAGGAACGTGGTCTATATACCTTGACTTTGGCTCATATCAAGCAGATGACAGAAGATTTTTCAGAGACAAAGAAGATAGCTGATGGAGCATTTGGACCTGTCTATCAGTCAGGTATGTATTCATTTTATCATCAGGTAATGAAAATTAAACTGTTCTCCAACTCAAGAAAATTTGACTCACTGGAATTTTTTTTTTTAAGTTGAAATTTTCAACTGAATCTCTCGGTCTTCATCAGATCTGACCCAAGTAGTGTAGACACGTGATTTTTTTCCATGCATGTGTTGATGTCGGACAGATTTTGACAGTGCCGACGTCACATGAGGGAAAAATTTGTGTGTCTTCAGTACTTGGGTCAGATCTGATGAAGACTGAGAGATTCAGTTGAAAATTCCAAACTGTTCCAAATGTAAACTCCCACCTCAGATTACTGGTAATACTGTTCTTTTGAAATCAGTCTACCTTCAAGTTGCTGCTTTGTTTGCAATATGTAGTGGTCAATACATCGGGAAATAAGAATCTAAATTTATCTTTGTTCCTCTCTTCAAGTGTTTCCATATGATGGTCCACTGAAGGGTAGAAAAGTAGCTGTGAAGGTGAACAGATCTGCAGATCAAGGACAGAGGGAGTTTATGCAGGTGACTACGAAAAACGCTTTAACCAACTTAAGGTTGAATTCTTGTAAATTGGTAACTTCTTTATGGTACTAGTAGTTTTAAGGTGCCATTAGGTACTATGCATACTAGACAATTCTCATATATTCAGAGACTCCCCCTGAGCAAGTTGGTCAATGCATTTAATATCCATAATTACCGGTAGTAATATTCTGTCACTGGTCATATCAAGTAAACTGTTGTTTAAATTTTCAGGAGCTGAAAATGGCTGGATCCCGACACCCCCATCTCCTGCCTCTGTTTGGGATATGTGAAGATGAGAGGTAGCATCTTCTGACCTTTACTAAAACTGTCTAAATCATCAATTTTCCTTGTTTCCAAAAAAGAATTCAAAAATTACTTCAAGCAGTACATTGTTAGTTAGTAGTATTACAGTGTAGATAAACCAATAAGACTCTAGCATGTTGGTGGCTTTGCACCTCAGAGTCTGCTTTGTATCTTACATGCAAAATGACCAACTGTTGCATGTATTTATTCCTGGTAAGGCCACACCAAGTTAATTTGTTGTTTCTCAGATTCGCCCTGTCCATTTTTTTCTGATTTGCAAAAAAAATCTAAATCAACTACAAAATGCTCGATGAAAGACATATTTTGGCCCCAAAGGTTGAAGAAAGTCCTTTTCTTCCTAGTTGTTAACCTTTTTCAATGTAGCAATGCAATTTTGTTTCAAAATCTATTGTTTTAATTATAAACCGGCCTAGTATGTTCACATGGCTCCTATTGTAACATTTCTGGCTATCATGGGGTGCCTTGGCCTGTTTTTTTTTCGCCCTGTCACTTCATTTTTTTTTTTTAAATCCGAGAAACAACAAATTAAATTGGTTTGGCCTAATATTGGTATTCATAGGGTGTAGATGAATTCATCAAAGATCCAATATTGCAGACTTAATATGAATTATACCGTGCAATAATGTTAATACAGGTTTAGAGCCCAGATTCTTAGTTTCCTTCACTTGGCTTCAAATCTGTTTGACTTTATAAGAAAGAGTCCTGGTGTCATTCTTACCCATTAGTAAAATACCATCACTATGAGCTTTATACAATGTACTTATTGACTTTCTGCTCTTCTCTCTCCTTCTTTTTTCTTTCTGCTCAATGGGAACTGGGGGATTCTGTCACAAGTACCACACATGTAATCTGGCTCAGTTTTTAGCATGGGAGTGCAATGCATGGCCAATTGTTAAATGACGTCACATTACAAGTTGTTCACAATCTGGTTGTAGTAATTTAAATATAGTAGTAAATTATTTTCTTGTCATGTTCATTACTGTAAGTCGTTTTGCTACAGTATTACAGACTCTGCTACATGCAGGATTCATTGACCTCTGTATACAAGTCGATTTGTTTCTAATATCATTAAGTATGGTAGTTTCTAGGATAAGTGTTTTCTATTGAACTTGAAGGAAAAATTTGTTGCATGTGTTGCATGGAAAGCTGTATAATGCATTGTCAGATCTCATGCCCTGTCCTGTAGATGTCTATCACTGGTCTCACCCTACATGGCCAACAAAGACCTGAAGTCTTGGATACAGGACAAGACATCACCTACAGACTGGAAGACAAGACTGGTGATTGGTCTGGACCTGATAAGTGCCATCCGGTATTACCACCAGAAGACTGAGGGGTATGTTCCACTCTTTCTCTGGCACAAAGTAATAGCTTCAATTAAATGATAGCCACATTTTGAAAGAAGTCATGCCAACTTAGTATCATGTAAACACGCACGCACCCACAACCACTCACTCACACTTCTCAATCACTAGGGTCCATTTGAACGAAATGTACTTAGCACATCCTTCATATCAAAACTGTAGGTTGTTTGCAGGTGATCTTGTAGCGAGCTGCTTGTAAGAATGTTCCATTTACAGTCCAAAGAAGAGGTTCCACTGTGACGTGAAGTCAGCCAATGTGTTCCTGGATGCCCAGCTTCGAGCCCGTCTTGGTGACCCTGGCTTGATGAGGGAAGTTTCTGAGGACAAAACAGACCTCACCATAACAGGTATGCTTACAATATACTGGTCTAGTCTGCCTCATCTTTCAAGACAAAAAAATGTAAAAATTTAATAATTTATCCATTGCAATTGCAATAATTGTACTTTTCAAGTGCTTGTGTATTTTGCCAATACATAGCCAACTGAGGTTACAGCTGCACCCACATTGCAGGAAATTTGAAGGGCAACATCCTGTTATGAAAATTGTATATTAGCATGGAATGCATGCTTAAGACTTCACATGTTCCTGGCAAGGTCCTGTATCCTGCAAAAGCCTTGCACTAAGTGATACCTTCTCAAAGTGTCTGGTATGTTTTCTAAATATACACGTTTCAGTTTCAAAAGCAGGTAGGGGAACCTCATTCTACCAGGATCCCTACTTCTCAAAGTACTGCAAGTACCATGAGACCAGCGACATTTACAGTGCAGGGAAAGGTACGAAACTGTACTAGCCTTCTAAATACTGTAATGACAATAACAACTGTCTTGGTGACTTGGAATAGACACTATCATAGGGCCTTTCATTACATGATATTCCAGATATTGTTGTCATGCATTAACAGTACATTTAACAGCAAAAGTCAACAATGCGCATCATCTAGACTCCAATAACTAACCATATACCAGAAATCAAAGAAATGCATCAAACCTACCATGAGTTACAGCTGTAAACACACAGACATCAATGAAAACAGTACCTTCCCAGAGGCAATAAGTTCTGTCAACTTTAGCAACCTCTATTTTAAAGAAATTAGTAGTACCATTTTTTTTGTGGCATCACAAAGTTATAACTGCAGTGACCTAGGATTAATACATGTATGTCCATTTTGTCCTCTAAAGTCTTTCTAGAACTTTTCACGAGCAAAACTGCTGATAGTAAGGAAGATGGACGTTTGCTGTTTGAAATCTGGTCTGAAGAAAAGGAGTACTTCAGTGCACTCAGTGATGGGACAGAGCTGTGTGAGGTGGCAGACCGTTCAGATGCAGTGGTAAGTAGTCATTATGATGATGTTTGTGAAAAATCAATCTGGTTTAAACAACACTATTAATGTATAAAGATAAGTTATTAAAGTTGTACTATTTTCCTGTACAGTTTGATGACCACAACTACCTCAAGACTAATTGGGTCCATTCGAGTCTAGCCTTTAATACAAATACTGCACAAGTACTTTTTACATCACAGGTCATGTAAATTGTCTTTTATCCTTTTCTCAAGGCTTGGCCAGAATGCAGTGAGGATGGAAGTTCTGCGACTCAGCAGTTTGCAAAACTGATCATCCGTTGTCTTCAAGATAGTCCCAAGAAAAGAATTACATTAGAGGAGCTCTACAAGGAGCTGAAGGTACCAAGTTTACATCATGTTATGCAATGTTGGAGATGTCACTGACACTGTAACTAATGTTTCAAAGACTTAAACTTGAAGCATGTAACTCATTGCAACTAACCTGTTTTTTTTGTAGAGTCTGGTAACAAGTGAAAATGCCCTAAGGAGCTTTGGCACCGAAAAACCTGACTTCTGTACATGCTGCCTAAGGATAAAGCCAAGTAAGTGTAAAATAAACATGACTAAAATTAGCAACAGTTGAAAACTGTCACTGAAAGACGTTTCAAGTAGCATTCACTACTTTGTCAGTGACTAACAGAATCTGTTGTTGAACACAGATATTTATCCAAAAACTATCAATTGATACTGTATGTAAATGACCTAAAGACAAACATGTGCTATACGTGAAATGTGCTATACGTGAAATGTCTTACATTTAATTTACAGCTTTCAAAATCTATTCAGTTGCTTGAATAGCAGTTTTCTCGTGTATCTCATTACCCAGACGCCTAACCCTTATCGATATGGCTGAAATTACTTGATACTACATGTTGTAAATGTATATGGAACGAGAACCTCATGTAACACTTGTACACATACATGCAGTTATTGGAGTGGGGGACAAACTTCATAAAAGCTGCTAATTATATTGTATTGATTAGTGCATGGTGACATCTGAATAAAATCAATCTCACAGAAAATTGTGGCATCACAGCCTATTCTTGAGTACATGTATTGGAACAATTTGGATATTAAACTGTTTCTTTCATCAATTTATAATGTCATGGTACATTGTAGGTTCCATCCCTATGAGCTGTGGCTGTGTCTCCGTGTGTGTTGCCTGCATGAAGAAGAACAGTAGGGCTCTCTACTGCACTAACCATCACACAGAGACAACAGGTCTAGGTATGTACATTCACCTCTGACTCAGCCCTAGTGCACAAGAAAATATCTCCAGTTGGTTTCAAAGAGTCCTGCTTTTAGATTGCTGATCCTGCTGAATTGGAATAATAGACTGAGACATACAGGTTTCATTACATCTTTTGACCACTTGCAACCTTAGCCTCAAAAGATATTATGTGCTCTTTTTGCCAACTGTTATTGCTATCATGTGCAGCTATACTATTTTTGGTCTATTACAGGGCAGAACACATTTGCTGTGCTTGTTGGCATGAAAGGCAGGAAGAGGGGAGAACAGGGTTTTGGAAAGGATGCTGAAGAGATGTACAGGGTCCTGACAGATCCTAACATCTGTGCAGTAAGGTACTAGTAATCACTTTATGCTTGTTTGATCTCCACTGACTACTAGTAACATCATCAGAATTACCCGGGTGTTGTTTATTGCAAGTTACAAGATATTGTCTGAAAATATAAAAAAAGGTGATAAAAATTGTGTTTCTTTGTTTAGATCTGAGATTTTGTTTTCCTTGCAGACCAGAGAATGTGAAACTCCTGACCAATGGTGAAGGCACCTCAGAAAACATCAAGAAGGCAGTGAAGGAACTTGGTCAAGAGATGAATAAAGTTCCAGAGTCTCAACAGAAATGCCTACTGTATTACCACAGTGGGCATGGAGAAAACCCACGCAAGAGTTTGAAGCGCTTCCTTGTCTGTGAGGACAAAAGAAATTCCTCCAGCCAGATGAGAAAACTGTTTGCTGAACTTTGTCCTACAAGATCCCTGTACATCTTAGATGTGTGTTTTGCCTCATCTGTACAGTTGCAGTACATGAACAAGGAAGATGAGGAACCGGTGGCTGTCAACACAGATCAAGTTAATGAGGGCGGCTTACTTAAGCTTATTTGGGGTTTCCTGCCTGCTTGGCTAACTAGCTTACTGCCTGTCTGGATGGCACCAGAGCAAGAAGAAGGAGAAGAAGAACAAGAAGGAGAAGAAGAAGATGAAGAAAATTTCCTGAAGTCCTGCATCCCTCAGGGTTCTCTGCTATGGGCATCCAGCAGGAGCAACGAAACGTCACAGGTTGAGAAATCAGCAACAGCAGAGGACAAGATCAGCGTCTTCACCAAGTACATCCTGGCTGGCCTGTGTGGTGGTGACAAGTCGTTGAAGGATAAGACTCAAGGCTTAGGTGGGATGCCTCTTAACTTCCTCCAAGACTATGTCTTCGATGAAGTCAAGAAAGAGGTTGGAGATCAACAGACGCCATCAATAAGTGGTCAAGATGAGAAGACGTACTGGATTGCATACCCCCCAGAAGACTGAGGTCACACATTCTGCGTTTCATTCCACACTGTCTGCAAGAGATTCCCAAAGTCAGTCAGCCAGCCAGCCAGCCAGTCAGCCCTGCCCATGTTATCCATTGCTGATTTTCTATTGAATTATTTGATTGTTGCAGACTTTTGCCTCTACTGCCAACCATGGCAATAGATTGACTGAGAAGGCAGAATATTATTTTCTTTTTTTATAAAATGGCTGAAAATCTATAATATTATGTGTATGGATGCCATCAATAAAATTAAGTCAATGTGGCCTTAGGTAATGTACATGAACATAAACTTTGATGACACAGGCAGCATGTTTAATAGAACTTATTGAAGTCACAATTGTTAGTGACTTGGAACAAGACGTCAATGTTAATCTTTGTGATATTGTGATTTTAGAAAAATTGTGACAAAATTGTATCCCATTACAGGGAGAATGCACATATGCTTTCCCTGCCATTTTCCCTGTACATTTTGAGTCTTGAGCAGTAACAGTCACTCCTTCAACTCTTTTGTTTGCCCCAGCCAACTATCAAAGAGTTTCTATGTTATAACTACCCGACAGGACATTTAGATGAGAAAGAGGACATACAATGTAAGAAAGGAGCCTGACATACATGTAGATGCCATAGTTAGTTCTATTTGGCCACTGTTAATCTCCTGCAATGATGACAAGATTTGTAAGAAGCTCTTTCATCCCTTTCATCCTAGATGTGCCCTTCAGCTGGCTCCTCCCAGTGTTACCTTCTAAATCATGATGTCCCCCTCAAGCTGACCTCATAGATGTAACCTGCCTAGCTGGATAACATGCTCAAGCTATCCTTTTCTCCATACCCCCTTTTGCTGCACACTCCTTTGATGCCACTCTTCAGCTGCCCCTCTCCCCCTTAGATGTCACCCTTTGGTGCACCCCTCCCCCTTAGATGTCACCCTTCAGCTGCCTCCCTCCCCCTTAGATGTCACCCTTCAGCTGCCTCCCTCCCTCTTAGATGTCATCCGTCAGTGCCCCCCTCCCCTTTAGATGTCACCCTTCAGCTGCCTGTCTGTAAGGGTGATCTTCTCTCCTGGCTTGAACGCTGGCATGCCTAAATATGGGCAGCTGGCACAACGGAAGGCATCACCAAGGTAACACTGAAAAATAAAGAAAATGTAAGACTAGGTCATTCAACATAAGGCATATAATTTTGTGGGTTCAGGGAATTTATGTCTTAGTCAGTTAGCTAGTCACAAGAGTTGAAAGGAATTTTATCGGATCAAAACAAGACTACATGTATTACTGAAAAGAGTATTACAAGAGAAGACTCTACATCAGTTTTTAGGAGAAATAGTCAGAATCATAGTAAATACACTCGTAAACCATGATGCTTGTAGCTCAACCCAAGCCAACATACAACATGTACAAGAGAGATTTGAACAAAACCATATATCCTGCATGGCAGCCTTACATTTCCACAAGCAGATGTGGCAGGCTTGCTGGCAGTCTTCTCTGTCTGATCACCTTCTAACTCCTCTGCCAGACCACAGGTGCTGCAGGGGACATACAGACTTTCTTACAGAACATCTTACATAAGCTGCGTACTGTATGAACAATTACAGTTGTCTTTGTCACAGATAGCAAACGATCAGTAGTGGTAGCTACATGTAATCCCCCTCCTGAGATAGTTACTGAGTTTATAGATTCATAGATTAGTTGTTATGATTAGTTGATATTAGATTCATAGATTAGTTGTTATGGTTAGTTGTTATGATTGTTATGATTATTGTTGTGATCAAGGATTTGTTATGATTTGATTTATTCTGTAATGGATGGTTCAGTGTATGTATGTATTGCTTGGATATATGAATAAAAAAAAAGTTTATAGATTCAAATTCAAGTTTGAACACACCAATATGAATTCACTTTATGTTCACAGGAGCAAAATTTCACGGTCTGAGAAAAATGGACATGTTTACAGAACTATAAATTCATGGTGGCGACAGGTGCAGGAAAAAGAAAGTCCAGGAATTATTTGTTAACTGTAATGATAAGTTCACGGTACAGAGGTGACAGTGAAAACAGTAAACATAACAGTACAGTGAAAAAAATCAGGAATTACAGTACAATAGTACCTTTTTTGGAGTTATGCAATCCAGTTTCTGTTTTCTATGCGATGCAAAATGTAGTAACTCTAAGAACTCACCAATTTTTACATGCTTTCCTTTTCTTGGTGTCCCCGCCGCATCCAGCTGAACATGAGAGCAAAGAATAAAATTAAGTTCAAGCTTCTCTGATCAAAATTACTCTGTCAGACTGAGTAAAAGTTCTTCACTGCTAACGTTAACAGTAATGTAAAACACTTATATACAGAAGAAGCATTTATTATAATCCAGTTGCCAAAGAATCTCTTGAGATGACAACACAGAACGTTCACATCTAACTCACACTTTAAGGAGGCAGGGTCTGGTTTCTTCATGTCTTCCTCATCGAGAAGTTCATCAGGGTCAAGGAGATCCTACAAAATCCAACACAAAGGTTATCCCATCAATGCCATGTAACAACTTTCAGCCAAACAAATGCCAGTAAAATCATGACCATATCTCCTAATCAGTTGTAATATAGTAGACGTCGATTAGTTTGAGGTGGTGACATCACTTTTGTCATCAGAAGTTTCAATACATCAAATTACTAAGCCACTCTGTCTCATTGGACAAAGTTAGAATAATACTGGACACGGAACAGGACTACTTTGTAAGAGGCATTAAGGAGGCCATATACATCAGGGCAATCCAGCCATCACTTAACAGAGACAGTGGACAATATAAACTCCCTGGCACATTTGATCAACTGCTGATGCCATGTATTCGTAAAGTCTCGTGTGAATAAGGTCATGTGTCTGTAACCGTAACTCTCGCAAGATTACGTTGTGAAGTGATTGGTCATTATCCTGATGAAGGCGACTGGTCGTTGAAAATTAGATCTCTGTGTAATAGTCATGTTGGAATAAATTTTAACATTTTACTAACATCACTTTTGTTGATAGATGTGTTAACGTGTATTTGTGGAACTCACAATGTCATCGTCGTTCATATCCACAGCCGACAGACTCCAGATCTTGGCTGCATTCTCATCCAGCTTCGGTTTTTCTACTGTAAATAACGAAATACATCAAATGAAGGCACAGTGCTTGCAAATACATTATATGTTTCTTCCAAACCCTTTATCACATGTTGACCTTGCTTAGACAGGTCAATACTAGCACATGCCACTTCAAAGTAGAACTTAAGTCAATAATGCAAATCCTTACCCTGTTTTTTCTTGGCAAAAGAAAGGGTAAGTTGTGCACTGGAGCCCACTTCATAACTGGGCTTGCTGGCTGAAATCTCAACCACCTGAACACCTTCAACTGATAGGGCTTGTTTCAAAAGGTCTTGTTCCTGCTGGGACAAGGAGACTTCTTTTGCCTAAAAGAGAAGAAAACAATCCGGAATATAACTTCAATGTCTTTCTGAATACCTTTTCCTATTATAGTAGTACATTCCATGCAAACAGACCACATATTCCAATCTTTGGTGTAACTTTTCATAAAGATACATTGCATTACAGAATTTTCACAAGTCACAAAGAATGCAAGGTACATGTATGTTCTCACCTCTGACACACTGATCAGCCCAGCTAGCTTCAGACTGGAGCTCAGTTTAGCTGCAGTTCTCAAAGTACCTCCATTATCTGAAACAAGGAGAAGGTTTTTATAATAATATTGTACAATGTATCATCAGAATAATGTTTTGATTAATCACTATAACATGTACTCAAAAGTCTCTCTATGGGGATACCAAAGAGTTTTACAGATATAAAAGAATAGTTTTCCTTTAACATGAACACACATGTACAAATGGCATACATATATACACACCAACACATACACAAACACAACACATACATCATAACATGTATAAAGATTTTACAAGGCACCAGGATTTGCTTTATACTTCTGGCTAACACATTGTTGCCAGAGCCGGTACATCACACAGACTGTGGTACAAACGTACCTGTGCTGACTGTAGGCTCACACACCACGACCCTCCCACTGGGCTTCAGTAATCTGGCCATCTCTGCTAGCAGGTCCCCCGAATGGACAGTCGTGGGAGGGTTCATCGTCCCTGACAGGACAACGTCAAATGTTGAGCTACCATGATTTGCTGGAAAGAAGAGCATTTCTAATTATTCTTTGTTTACTAGTACATTGATATGTTGTTGTTGTTTAATCATCCTCGTCAGAGGTGAAGCATGATATCATGCTTTTTCTATTAGCTATGCTTGTGCAATGCGGCTTCACTATGGCTCATCAATTATAATAGTCCACAAGTCCACATTAATGATGATACAGACATCAGGGGGCCAACGGCCATGGCTCTAAAATGTGAATTATTTTTATATAGGTAACGTTACTCATTTCCACCCTCGTAAAGTGAGGAAAGTTGAATTTTAGGTATTGTCATTGTTCTTAACGGACTCTGGTTAAATACGTGACTGTCAGGTATATCACCCAGGGTATACATATACATCAAACCAACCAGGGTATGAATACCAGCTTAGGCGTGTACTTACACAAGAGCAGCCTGTCCACATGCTCCACACGTACATGACCCTTCTCTCCAACCTTGGCCTGAAGATTCCCGACTGTCGTCTGGACCATGTCCCCAGACACCGCCCCGCCCCATAGCAACAGCACTGTCTGTCCAGGATTCACAGAGTCCATGTTTGATTCCTGGTTGGGAAGAACTGTCACAGGCTGAAATAAAAAAAATAAAAAATAGAAAGTTAACATTTGCAAAGCAAATGCATAATGTTTACCTTCACATATGCTCTGCTCTGACACATTCATATATATGGTGACAGGAGTCTAAATCCCTACTGCTATAAAATTGCAACATGATATAACCCAACACTAGTTACCATGGTGACAGATGTCTGGTTCAGGTCAATGACCTTATTGGTTTGGAGAAGAAGAAGAAGAGGAAACAGAGATGTTTTCCTTCGGTAAACATAAAAACTGTCACTGTCTAAAATAAAAACACTGCATATTATTTCACACATAACATTTGCTTAGAAATGATGTGTTGCATAACAAAAGGTTTCACTTATAACTGATTTGGGGTAAGAAGTTCCAGACAACGATGCACTTATGTATTCTGGTCAGTTGCTTCCAAGTTCAAGTTCAAGTTTACACAATGGCGAGAGCTATCTGCGCAGCTCTTTGGTCTATCAAAGATCACCAACTATGTGCTGCTTATATCTTGAACATTTGTCACTGAGACTGGTTTGGTCTTAGGTATTTTTTCCCTCCCTTTTGTGCATATTTTGCCGAAATACAAACGTGTTACGCAGGCACTTCCAGTTACGCAATATCTGGAGGATGAGTTTGCAAGATGCTTCAACTGAGATTCTACGAGCACATACGAAATATTGTGTTTCAATAAGAAAATACCAACCTTTCAAGAATGACAGGTCTTTCCCACGTCAATTAATTGCATACAGAAAGTGTCCTTCAACCTTGTGGACCGTTATAACACGCCAAAAAGAGCACAGCTGCACAAAAAGTTGAGCTATTTCTTCACGCTGACCCCAAGTCACCTGTCCCCGATTGAATATGGCGGATTACCCAGCGTGCAAAAATACATGACGTCATGAGACGCTTTTCTCTCTTGTATTCATCCGCTACACAAAATAGTTTCGATAGATTTACACAATATTATGGTAATATGAAAACCTTTAGAAGCGCATAAAGAATACGTTTTGTACCATTATGCTTTTTTGATACTTGAGGATGGCATGTTTTGTGATATTGTCAAGTTCACAATAAAAACGAACGCGGATGGATAATAAGCTAATTACAGTACGACATGTTTTCTTCCGGGAGGCCATCATGGCGGAGAAGGGAACGTAGCACAGAAACTTCTCGACGACAATGACTCAGATTCACTTGTTTGAAATGTCGTTGCCCGGTAGAGCACCGTAAGTTTGAAAGAAGGGAAACCGAAGAACGTCAGGATGCCGTTCGTTCTGCTGGACCGCGTTCCGCTGCCGAGCCTGAAGGCCTACACGGCGTGCAGCATCGCGCTGCTTGGCTTCTGTCTGATGTACGCACACAAACAGGTGACACTGGAGGGGAGGGGGTTGGAGGACCTAAACCCGCCCACTCCCCCCGAACCCACCGGGGCGGACGCTCGCTGGTGGGCGTGGGGCAAGGATGTGTTAGGGGCGAACCCCATCCCTCAGCCGGTGCAGATAGAACTGAACCGGACTATTTACACCAAGGCCATGATGTCGGTTATGTTGGAGGAGACGTGGTGTATATGGGTGAGTTGGTGATATGTCATCAGTTTGTTTGTATTGCATAATCGGTAAAGCACCCCAAGGTGTAACTCTCCAGATCAATACTAAAGAGCTAGTCTAAGTACAATCTGCATAGTGGGACAGGTCGCTTTCAGCCATTGCACACATCATGGGTGTACCATAAACTTGGGTTCTGAAACATACTTGAGGTTAGCCGCGGCGACTGTTGCAGGGCTTCTCTTGCTTGCAGTCTTTTACATTAGCCCTAACAACAGTCGCGGAGCGGTGCATTGGGCCAAATGAACAAACATGCGTTTTACCGTGCCGGAACACTTTGAGACCGAAGTTTGCACGTCCCTAGATTCCTAACAGCCTCACCTAACGTGCCGGGGTGTTTTGCGCGTCAACCGGCCCCTGCGCGACTCGTACTGCCACTATTTGCGATCGTTCCCCACGTAAAACATAACAGTTGGCCGCCATTTTTGATTGGAATCAGCCGCCGGCAAATTTGCCGCTATGTTTCTGATAAGCTATTTATATGGATCAGAAAAGTAGCGGCACATTTGCAAGGAGCTGATTCAGCGCGCGGCTGACCAAGATGGCGGCCACTCGGCTTATGAATACATGGGGAGCGATCGCAAATAGTGGCGGTACGAGCCGGACAGGGGCCGGTTGACGCGCAAAACACCCCGGCACGTTAGGTGAGGCTGTTAGGAATCTAGGGACGTGCAAACTTCGGTCTCAAAGTGTTCCGGCACGGTAAAACGCATGTTTGTTCATTTGGCCCAATGCACTGCTCCGCGACTGTTGTTAGGGCTAATGTAAAAGACTGCAGGCAAGAGAAGCCCTGCAACAGTCGCCGCGGCTAACTTGAGGTGTGGCTCTCCTCAAATATGGGGTCAGTAGTTTCATTGCCCTTTCCAAGGACTTCTAGAAGAGTGTAAATCATTGTTCAGCAGGCATAGAGGATTCACAGCATCTCTGTCTGCAGACACTTGTTAGAGTGTGCAATCTGTCTGGGGAGGGTTATCTGTGAGCAAAAAAATCCTAAATTGGATGCACATGTGGACGACATGCTATTCATGAAATTGATACACATTTGATGATGATTTGAATAGATGATGTGTATTGGTATAAGTCACACCTAATAAGTAGTTGCTAATTAGTTGCATAATGCCTTTTTATTGGCTTGCCACCTGTTAATGTGTTACTGTTATAATGCAAAGGCACGTGTGTTTGGCTTGGTCACTCATTTAAACAAGTAACAGGTGTTAAGGTATGTTGTTGTGTTCTCATGTTTGGAACATTTGAATGTCTTTGTTAGCATTACCAGGGCTAGAATTAACCACCTGCATTATGTACAAAAACTTGCAGTTTGGCAGGTTAAAGTAAAGGAATTCATGATCACATATTGTAGGGCTTATAATCACGATATTGTAGAAAGCATAACTGAAGTATTATGAGCCCTGATAACTTTTGAGGAAAGAAAATGATATAGGACTGTGTTGCATTACATACAAAATCAAACTGGTCTCATATTACAGAATGTAGGGCAACTGAAAGTAAGCCATATGTGAAAAGCTAGTGTTTTAGTATCTACAATGATTACAAGAATTCCATTCCATTCCATCTATGTTTGTATGAAACAATCTTGGTTAATGGTAATGTAAGTACAATACAATAATATATATTTTCAGGTACTAGTATGCTATTCACCTGTCCCTGAAAGTGTGACAAGGCCAGTCTGTGTCACATCCATGCAGCCCTCTGACACTCATGGCATGCTCCAAATATAGATGAACTTAGCTAAACCTACATGTTATCATTTGTGATGAAACGACAGAAACCGTGTTTCCCCAGCGATTACTCTGTCACAATGACACCACCCTGTCAAGAAAGCGTACAAGTATGCCAGAAAATATGTTAAGTTGCCTTGGCCTACTTGTCTAGAATTTGTAATTGTTTTCTTGTAAAAGAATATCTGCAGCCTGAACCAACATGTGCAGTCAAAGGTGGACATGGGTGAAATATTTGCCTAACTGTGTAATGTGCCTCTTGAGTTAGGCAAAAGAGCACATTGGAGGATATCGATGCCACTTCAGCATCACAAGTTCAAAGGTTTAATTTAATTACCAGCTTATACAAGTACCCGGAGGGGGATGTAAGGAACCAGCTATCCTGTGTTTGAGGACAGCCATGCCTTGAACATAAAGTTGAACTCACCGTACAAATCTTACCTTTTTCAAAATTTCATGACGTCTGTTGTGGTCATTATGGTAGCATTGGAGACTTGTAGTTGTACTGACAAATGACTGATGAGCTGCAAATTAAGGGAGCTTCCAGGGTTTCCTACATGTACTTACCCTTGTTGTTGCATGAAATGCAAAATTTCCTACTTGCAGCTCTAGTGAATCACCCTTAAGGCTTAACACACAGGTCTGTAAAATTACTTGTGAAAAGTTGAAAAACACATGTATCCGTCCAAAATTAACCACTAGCTAAAATTAGAAACAATCCACTCTGTATGTGTCAGCACATATTTTTCTTGGACTCGGAGCAAGGTTGCCGAAACAATTTTAATGGTGACCACCTGTGTTAGTAGGGTCCCTGCCAGTAAACACTGCTTTTATACTTGGACTTGAAAGCAACTCCAGTCTAAAAATAGCCAAGAACTCTCCAGAAACATCTGGGGAAAGTTGAAGAGGTCTGTGCTTTGGTGAACTTGGCATGCTGTGTTGATTAAATCTGCATGTTTTCTGACCTGTAATGACTCTCAGCCTGTACTAGGCATGCGTACAGGCCAGTCTGAGACCACAGGGCACTTAGCAGATGTATATAAAGCCAAGCCACATCGCCAGCAAGCGTACTACAGCACAGCAGAGTCCTGTCCTGTAACTTCTGTGTTTAGAGACTCAGATATTAGTTCTGTCTGTGAAGATGCCTTTCTATACATATCTGCACTGTTTTGAGTGTTACCATCCAAAGGTAAGACCAGCTGGGCCTTACTAGGAATTTTTGAAATGCTTTATGTTGCAGTGTTTAAAGTAGAATAGATATTTCTGTTTTATGCAATGTGTTATTTGTGGTGCAGAATACTGCATCAATATTCCTGAGGGCAAATTGGAAGTTTTGTTTTTTTCTGTATTCTCAAAATTTCCCTGTAAATTACAGGTTAAAGGTGGCTGTTCTGGTTTTCCTGTGGTAGGAATTCAAAATGTCTTGGATGTGATCATTGTTTGTAGACATGTATAGTATTCTGTGTTGTGTAGAATGTAATTGTGTGACATCTGTTTCAGACATGGATCAACACTGCGTACTGCTGCCTGATCCTGCTGGGGAAGGCCATCCAGTGTCTGGTGTTCGGAGATCTGAGAGTGTCAGAGAGACAGGTTAGTCAAACCAGTTACTTTCATTGCCTTAGGCAGTAGAAAGAGTTCCATATGCAGGGGTTGTAAGCATTGTTCTGACTGTCCATCAAAATTAGCTGTTCATACAGGAGAGCACTTGGCTGTTTGTGAAATTTTTGCATTTCTATCATCTATGTTAACATTTTGTTCAGCATTTGCTTACTTGCTTAACAAGTAAGTAAGCATATTTTCTGCATTTTCGAAGCGTCCCTGTAAAGTTGCAGTGACATTTTACTGTTTCTGTCCTCCCCACAGCACATCAAGGACAAGTTTTGGAACTTTGTGTTCTACAAGTTCATCTTCATCTTCGGGGTTCTGAACGTACAGAACATGGAGGAGGTGGTGATGTGGACAGCCTGGTTCACACTGCTGGGGTTCCTGCACATCATGACACAACTGTGCCGAGACCGCTTCGAATACGTAAGTCAGTCCTCAGGTTGTCATGAAACAAAATGTACCTATTCATATCTAGGCATAGTTTGCTGAACAAAGTTTCTGGTCTCTCTGATTGAGTGACATGAATGCTGTACTTGAAGTTGAATATCAACATGAAATCAGAATCAAAGTCTGCACCTTGGTACATACAAGTGCATGGAATTTTCTAGTCTGATGCAAGAATGAAGCTTATGCAACAGGATTGACTTGAATGAAGTTTCCAGACACTGTGCTTAATATAGATTTTGGAATGGCTAGCGCTTTTGATTTAAATTCTTCCCCCCTTGTCTCTGTCCTTGGCTCACAGCAGGTCCACGGCAGCATTAATGAATTCCAGACATCCTTTCTTGCTATTCCTGAAAAGAAATACGGCTTCTAAAAATATCTTAGTGTAGGGACCATGGCCATGACCTAAGCTTAACAAGTTCCGCCCTGTTCCCATGGTACCGGCCTGTTTATCTCATCTCCTCGGAGGCTTGCCAAGTTTTACAACTTGTAAGGTCTGGCTGCAGCTTGTGTGGTTTAGTATTGAGTAATCAGTCCTTTGCTCTGTTCAAAATAAAAAAAAGTAGCTATGTTGGCTAGTAGTGTTGACCTAAACCAATGTTCAGGTCCAGGTCCGGATTGAAGTTCAGAGGTTTAGGTTCAGGTCCGGACTTGCAAGTCCAGACCTAAGCCCAGGGCCTATACAAAATACGAGATGGACTTCTCAGTTAACATTTTCCAATGGAAAGCCACTGCACACAGCATTAACTTTGGCCTGGTGGTCTTACGCAGAATACGGGTTTCACTGTTTTTAGTCCTTTTTTCTGAACCCAAAATCAAGCATAATGACAGGGTGGTTCTCATACAGAAGTGGCCACTAAGACCTATATGTACAGGTTTGAATGTATTTCTCTCTCGTCCCCACAGCTGTCCTTCTCCCCCACGACCCCGATGGCTACTCACGCCCGTGTCCTGGCCCTGCTGACCGCTGTCCTGGTCATCTGTAGTGGACTGATGGGCGTGTGTATTCTGGTCGGTCTGGAGGCCGGACTGAACACTGCCGCCTTCATGGGGGCAGAGGTGAGGCAGTTTGGGGTTGTAGTGATAGACACAATTCAAGTTTTGATCCTTGTACTACTTGTTTGTTGGCCAGATTGGAACTGAAGCTACAATATATATATACTATGAATTGTTCGGATGACAGAAAATTTAAAAAGACACTGCTGCTTTTATTTTGGCCAGGGTAAGGCAGTTCTGTGGTTTGAGGTTTCACTGAAAGGGAATCTCAAATGTTCATAACTTATGTAGAATGCTGAAAGAGGAATTGGAAGAAAATTTTGAATTTCAGACACTGACTAATTTCTTGTACAGCTAGTGTATCTAACCATTGTCTTGTCTGCATCATTTCTTCCAGTGTCTTCTCCTGTTTATCAAGACGACATATGTCATTGTGAGGTGGGTGGGCTGTTTGCTTATGTTTGTCTAATTGGTGTGATCTTAGCAACATCACAAGTTAACAAAAACTAACATAATTCTGAATTGTGTTATGTAGGTTTCTCTGAAACGAATTTGTAAGGCTTGTATTACAGAGTGCACATGGTATTTTCACAGGTATGCTATTCACCTGTATGACGTGAGCAACACAGGCACGTGGGAGAACCGGGGGACATACGTGTACTACAGCGAACTGGTCATGGAGCTGACAGCTCTCATCGTCGACTTCTGTCACCACCTACACATGCTGGTTAGTACTGCAGTTTCTCAGTATATGCCCCCTATATGTAGTAGATGGTACTGCAGCACTGTGCATTATAAGTCAGCCTACTCCTATTTTACAGTAGTCAGCCTTCTATTGATGTTACTTGCAACATTACAATTGTGGTGGAACTGCCAGTTGGTACACTGTAGATTCATTTTGTAGTGAGGGATCACTGCAAAAACCCAGAGAATTAAACCACCACAAACATTTCAAATTTACAGTGTATTGACACAGTAGAACACCCCCTACTGTGCTTTATGGTACTGTGGTATTGTACAAGCTTAGCTTTTAGACTAGATTGTTTGCAACAAAACAGTGCTTTCAACTGATTGCTTTTTTTTCTCTTCTTGTTTTCTTTCCTTGTTTCTACTTGTTCAGAGCACAACTGGAAGGTTTGCTACAGATGATCTAAATTCCCACTTCTGAGTTGAAAGTTTGTGTGCAGATGCTTAAGTTTGCCAGTACACATGATCATATTGTGTATAATGTATTTAAAATGCAGAATATTATTAGTGCTCGGTAGGACCGTGCAGTTGCAAAGTTATTGTTTGGTTGTTGGATTGATGTATTGAGGATGCCAAACTATACATGATATTCTCCCTGAGCTACAAGATTGATGGGAGGGCCAATCAGCAGTCCAGTTTTAGATGAAAGCCACTGATTGGTTGATTGGTGTGTTGTGTGTAGACGAACCGCTGGCTGAGAATATTCTGGAGGTACCATCTGTTCGTCAGGTCAGATAGCAGCAGTAGGGAGAAGCTAATACCCACCAGGGAGCTCAGGGTGAGTCCAACGGGGCTCCGATAGCCGATGGTCTACGGAATTTTCCCCCTCCCAGTCTCTTCCTGTTTTTCACTAGAAAAGGGGGGTTCTGAGGTTAGTTGATCAAATTGTTGTTAGGGCAGTGTTAAGTATGGTACCTCCCAGGAAAGAGCTGTACAAATTATCTCCATGGACAGTTTGTGACAAAAAATTCTTCAGAATTAAACTCGATAATCCCATCAAGACAAAGTTGACTTTCCATTTCAACACAGTCAGTTGTGGACATGAATTGTCGTATGATGAAAAGGATAAAGGAGAAAAGGGGGAAGATTCCAGTAGATGGCTCAAGTTTCCTTTTTTTCATATATGATTTTTTCTTTCTTTTATTCCTGCTTATCTGTTGCCATGGCAGCTGTGTAGGATTAAGGTTTGGTTTGAGCGGATCCAGAGGAGAACTTCTCTCCCGTCTGACGTTACACGGGTTTGTGGGTTAGACTGTTCTGCATCATGCACACCCTAACAGTTTGTCTGTCTGCATGGGGAAAAGCCTGCTGCAGATCATGATATTGTACAGATGGCAATGTACAAATGAAATGTAGATTCAGTGCAGGTTTAGTGGAGTAGACTGAATAGACTTGACAGGGTTAGCTCCCAATTGTGCTCTGAACATGTTTTGGCCCTGGCTGCTATTTAAGGTGTGGTGTGCTGAGCTAAAAATGTCTTGGCTGCAATTTTTCTCTTAGCATGTAGATGTGTTGTTTTAACTTGTTTAATATGTTAATGTGTTTTGTGTATAATTTCAAATTGTATACTAGAAGGGGCTACATGTAGGTCTTGTGTGCTATGTGCAACACTTACCATGTACAGGAACATTTTGTAGCTTCCTGGATTTAAAAAAAAACATGTCCGAAAAGCTGCTTCATTGTAGCTGTGCATGTGTCGTGCTGGCGGCTGGAATCAGAAGCCATGAATGTGCATAAACTGTAGGATGCTAGAATCAAAGGCAGCCTTAATGTCCTATTTCTATTGAATGCTCTTATTATTTGTGAGCAATATCAGAAAATCACATGGCTCAACATCCATGTGTGCTTTTGGCATCAGTTGTACGTCAACATCATTAGTCTAGTGGTGTATACCGGTTCACTGGACTTGGATCCGGACTTGTAAAATGTTATTCATTACCCTTGACTAAAACATCACTTTAATGAATGAAGGTATGAAAATGTATGTAAAACCTTTGGACATTGACGGCTCTCCACAATCTCTTTGCTGAACACCAATAGAACATGTAAAATCATGCCCACACCATACAAAGATGAAGTGTACAACTTACTCAGTGAAATGCAGATTCATACCCATATGGATGACAGTATTCATGCTTTGGCTTTTGAGAAAATTCTCTGGATTGTTAAGAAATTAAGGGTGGGGTTACTGACTTACCTGTAGCCACCACCTTACAGTACAGAGAGCTTTTGGTACATAAACTGACGGTTCATAACCTCCCCACTTTGTGTTCCCACTCTGCAGCTGTGGGGCAACATCTTCCTGTCCATGGCCAGCCTGGTCATCTGCATGCAGCTGCGTTACCTGTTCCACGAGATCCAGCGCCGCATGCGCAAACACAGCAACTACCTACGGGTGGTCAACGGCATGGAGGCAAGGTTGGTGTGGTCATTAATGTCATGTAAGATATTTAGTATAACAAGATATGCATGGGGTCAGCAGGGCAAGCCCTTTGTAATAGCCAAAAGCTAGTTTGGCAGCCAGGATTGAGTGTATTGAACGGCCAAACCAATAGATTAAAGGCTTTCAATGCAGTTTTTAGGGCTAATGGAAACACGATTTACCCTCATGGAGCAAACATACCCAAAATTCTGATGGAAAATGGTTACTGGAAGGGCCCTTGGCTGATTTTTAGGGTACCACCCATAAAATAAGGACTCATCTTGGGGCTTGTTTCTGCAGTTTTAAATACCCAAAGTATGAAATATTGGTTGAAATGTGCTAATGTGGGGCAGTATGTGTCAGTATCACAAAGATTGCCTTATTCAGAAAATGTCTGGTTTTTGCTGCTCTGAAATCGCATTGGATGCCTTTGGTAAGAAATAAATAAAATGTTGCGATATTGGAAAGTCTGACCTGATTCTGTCTTATGAAACCTTTCACCTTATGCACTTTCCCCTGTAGGTTCCCCAGTGCGACCCAGGAGGAGCTGACTGCCAATAATGATGACTGTGCCATCTGCTGGGATCACATGGACACCGCCAAGAAGCTGCCCTGTGGACACCTCTTCCACACGTGAGTGTCACATATACCTGCTTCATGGTGGAACACAGTTCTGTATTTAAGGTTCTGTGTAAGGATTGGTAGTTTGATCCACTCACACTTTGGCATACGCCTTTTGTTATCATCTTATATGGTGGGACAAATGTCTTTTCTAAAATTGAAGTGACTATTATATTGGAGATCACAAATATGAGAAAGTCCAAGTCTTTGCTGCTTGTTGGGTGTTGCAGGTTCTATGAAACTGATGCTGTGACACAACCTTAAGGACATTCATATGTTTCTATAACTTCTAAGTTACCTCTATCATAGCCTGAATGAACTGTACCACTCCTTGCTGCATGGTAATTTTGTTAGGTAAATTTTCTCCAGGTTGTGCCATATTTTCTCAAACCTACCAACCTGACTAATCTATTCACGTTTCAGGTCCTGCCTTCGGTCCTGGCTGGAACACGACACCTCCTGTCCAACCTGCCGCATGTCCCTCAGCATCTCCGACAACAACGGCAACACCAACACCCCCCCTCCCCCACAGAACCTGCCCCTCAACCCCCCTCCCCCTGCTGGGCACCCCACCCCCCGACATGAACGCCCAGGTGGTGAACCAGAGAAATCACTTCTTCCACTTTGATGGTGAGACAGAAATCTTCCTATGTCAGCCTATTGTGTACTAAGCAGTGTTTTCCCATTGATAGTCATTTGATGGAATCTTGTTGCTAATGATAAACAAGAGTTAAAGCCACTTTCTAGTTTTTACCATATGGAAATTTCTGGTACTGTTTTGCCCTTTTTCTTGGTCCAAAAATTTCTGGTATTTTTTTCTTTTTATTATTGTTTTTTCTTGGTCCTCCAAATGCAATTTTGAACACACTTGTTATAAATACAGGGATATGTATCTGAATAGTTCCCAATGTTCCCTTTCCGCAGGATCCCGTTTTGCGAGCTGGCTGCCCAGCTTCTCTGTTGAGGTGATGCACACCAACATGGTGGGACCTCAGCATGCAGCTAACTCCCAGCTCGATGCCATGGTAAGGAAGTTAGCCTTTGGGCTGGATGAATCTTACATTCATCGTACTATGGGTTTCCGAGAGCAAATTGAGAGCTTTTGCAGGGATAGAAGTTAATGTGTTGTGCAAAATTTTGCTGTGTTGTGATGAAAGAAATTGTCTTACACCCTTTTTGATGGCCTGCTCTGTCATGACTTACATCATATAGAACAGATAGGTTTAGGTAAGGTTTGACTAGTACATAGATGGACTTTTGGCTGGGAGAAGCTTACATGGGTAGAAGACATTTTCTGAAGAACTGGCACCTGTTTCCTCAGGCACACCAGGTGCAGCAGATGTTCCCACAAGTCCCCCTCAACATCATCCTGGACGACCTGCGCCTGACCCGGTCCATGGAGATCACCACCGACAACATCCTGGAGAGTCGCATCAACATCCCGCTGGCCGCAACCGTCCGGCGCGGCGCCGACAACGCTGCCGAGTTCCCACCACAGCAGGGAGCACACGACGGGGCCGACAACGCCGCGAACGTCAGCCATGAAAACCTGGACGACTATGATGATGACGATGAGGACATCTCCCTCATCACAGACAGTGAGTCAGCAGAGGTTACAGAGGAGGAGAGTGAAGAGGAGAGGGAGATGGGAGCAGGAGACATGACTGCAGCAGGGGCCAGCATGGCTGCAGCAGGGACAGACATGTCTGCAGGGGTAGAGCTGGACCAGGCTGTGTTTGGTGCTGCAAGGTGAGCCTGTGTGACAGACTTGTACCTTTTCTTGGTGTGTTGGCATTGTTAGGCCATGCAGGTTAGTTTTGTACATCTTGTTGATGTAGGTGTGTTCATGTTGATTTTGGTATGTTTCAGAGAATAGTCTTCATCCTTTCAACAGAAATAACAGTAAGGAAACTAAAAGTGTAAATTGTGGTGAATGAAGAGTAAGTTTGCACTCCTCCGTGTTCCCCAGCAGCAGTTTTGAAGCGAGTGGTGAGAGCAGTGGTGCACACGGGAGCACAGGGCCGCTGGAAGGGCTCGGGTCCCGCTTCTCCAAGTCTCCTACAGAGCGGGAACGCATGTTAGCGGATAGGAAATCAGCACTGATGGAGCAGGCAAGAAGGTGGGCAACACTCCATGTCACGATAATCTGTAAAATACCAGTGTCTGTTCGTACACTGTAATGTGTCGAGTATGTGGTTGGACTTCCTCTAAACTTTTTAACTCTTATTGTTACAGAAAATTTATTGAGCGTGAAATAGGCACACAGGGAGCGGAAGGCTTGGAAGACATTTTCAGACTGTCGTCGTCATCTCAGCTGGAGGGGAGAACAGAGGACGAAGTGTCCGTGCGGCGACGAATTCTTGCAGCAGCGGCCGAGAGACGACTACTACAGCAGTGATCACGCCTACAGCTAGCAAAGATTCTAAAACATAGAGGTTATATTTGAAGTATGGATGTAAACTGGACCTCTCATAAGAGATACTAGATGCTCACAGTATACTACTACTATGAATATCACTCAAGGCAAGACAATGTACATTAGCTTTCCACAGTTACTCAATACTTGAAGTACACAGTGTATGTTGATAAGTACAGATGACAGTTGTAACATGTGGTATTGCTTTTATTTACATATGAATGAAACTATAGTTAGACCCTACCTGTGAACAAAGATGTCACTTTGAGGAATTGTAAAAATGGTGTATTGAATGTCCGAAGTGGTAGCACCAATTGTTATTTCTGCTTCTGCTGCTCAGGGTTGTTCATATTGAAAGTCTAGGCTTCAACTTAAATTCTTAGACCATACTTGTTGGCCCTAAAGTTCCCCTGTGTTGATAGAAGTGATTGTAGTCTGGATCAAACATGGAACAAACAATTAATGTTGAAAACAGGAAGATTCCTTTTGTAAAGGGAACACATGAAAATTGTGCATGCATGAATGTCATACTTATACTAAAGACTGGTTTGTGTGGTTGAAAATTGAAAAGTTATTCCCTTTACATTAAAGAGGGCAATTAGTTAATGAAGTGAAAAGGTATTTATTATGGGTTCACCACACCACGAAGTGGTGTGGTGAAACCATATTGCTTTTTCTGATGTTTCTTCTCCTTCTTCTCCTCCTCCTCCTCCTGCCATATCTTTAAATGGATTCAGCTTCTTCATTTTAGGGCCTAAGGTCCTGAAATTTGGTATGGAGGTACAGTGGGCAAATACCCCTAGGCGTTTTTTAAATTATTGTGATACAGGCTTTTAGAATGGTTTTATTTGAGTTTTTTGGCTGTGTAATAGCTAATGTATTACTGTGTAAGTGTGCAGTGTTTACCACATTTGGACATGAGTCATCACAATGGCATGCAAGGCATCAACCAATAGGCATGCAGCTTTCCTCTATTCTCCTTGCTGATTGGCTGTTGGGATTTAACTGGCTTAACTTCATTTACACCTGCACAGAGCCATGCCATACTGACAGTATGTCTGTATTCAAGTGTTTTGGTAGGTATTTTAAGCTTTCCTGCTCCAGCATTGGAATGCGGGCTATGAACGCTTCTTTTTATCTTGAAAATCAACAGTTTGCATTATGCAATCCTAACCAATAATGTAGGGAATAGCTATCCAACTGTTGTAGTCTTAGTTGTATGTTACTTCATACTATAGTTATATCAATGTAAAGCATTGTTTTCCCTTGTGTTTCTCATTCTTTCCCTGCCATGTGGTAAAATGTGGTGAACCCATCGCTATATTTGCTCCAAAGCAAATATTGGCCTTTCTAGTTGTAATTGAGACATTATTGAGGTAAACAGTTGCTCAATCGTGTCTCTAAATTGGAAATGTTGTTCTTGATCTGAAGCCTACACAACTTCACATCAAAGAGGCTTTCATATACATATACACAGAGATGTAGAGATTATGTAAAATAGTTAATATGTATGATATGTCTAACTTGTTTTGACTATGATGCAAAATGTATCAAGCATTGATTATGAAAAAAATGTTGTCTACATTTGCTGGGATAATGGTATAGAAGTCTTTTTACCGTGTTTGTATAACACTTTGGTGCTCTGATACATGGAATTTTAAGATTTATTTAGTGGTCTTAAAAGATATGTATCCTCTTTGTCCATAACTATTTAGCTGCCAAGTCTTTGTCGTCCCCTTCTATTTGCAGAGAGGACAAAAGAGACTCAGCAGCTAAAATAGGTTTGGAATCTATATCCTCTTGAAACAGGCCTGGCTCTCTTGGTGCACAAGACAGTGTCCTAGCTGCTACATTACTGTTACTTAGTCAGCCACAGAACATTCCTATTCCTCTCTGCTTTCTTCTGTGCCAAAGAAATGTTGGGACAGTTGGCCATGCCAGTGGTTGTTACCAATATGCAAATCAGCTATTTTATGGACTATCATGGTGACCATGTTGGCAGCAAGCCTGCTATAACGGGAATTGAATTTGGTCACGCAAAATTTGGAACGACACTTTAGAAATGTGTCAAATGTTTTTTTAATCAAAAGTTATGACAGAAAAAAATTATTATGAAAAAAAAAAGAATGAAGCATGCACTTTCAAATTGTCAAATTTGCAGTAAAAAAGTCTTAACACAAGATATTCAAATGGTATACTGAAATTTGAAAATGACTCCACATTTGAAAGAGGTGGTACATTTGTTAGCATTCGCAGGGCTGGAGCTAGCCACCTGCAATTTTTTGACGGAAAATTTTAACTTCCAACGTTGCAGACAACAAAAGAATGTCAGGCTCAGCATTAAGTTGGAGCTTTGATTAGTTTTGCAAACTTGAAAGGTTGTAATGATGAAGTCATGTTGCACTCCCATACCTCAAAACTGCTCTTCTCTTTCTAACTGAAATGGCTGTCAATATCACCAGTTATAGTGTATGGAAGAAGGAATCCCTGTGCAAGGCACTTACCCTTTCTGTATAGACTTCTGTAGCTAGTTCAAATTTCAGTACATAGTGTAGTTGACCACATACCCATGTAGCAAGTAAGGTTGTAACTAACCAGTTCCCCCTCTTGTGATAAAAACCCTGAAGTTTGTATAAATCTGACTATGGTAAATAGGAGAGGCAAACTATTTTCTCCCCTAAAAGTGTAACTGGCAATATACAAATATATGTATAGCACCTAGATAATTAGCCTGTGATGTCTGTACAGGTCAAACTTTGATGTGAATAGAAAATTTTGTAATTATTGAAGTTATATGTGATGAAGTTGATATACATGTGGGTTTCAATGTGTGTGGAGGGTTGTTTTAAGCACTGCTTGGGAAGCCTCTCTGTGAGGAGGGGCTGTTTTTGTTGTTACGATGTATGCAAAGTATGTGTAAGTGCCTGGGAATTAAAAAAACACAAAGGATTTGCTGAAACCATAGAGTCTTGTTTTTTTTTCTGGATAGAAGAGTTTAAGGCATGTGTTCTCCACCAAAAGCAATACAAGGGGCTTATTTTATACAAAATAGGCAGGTTTGTAGTTAACATTATTAAATGTGTTTAGGCTATAAACTATGGGTAGCCAAGAATAAAGATCAAGAGACAGCAAATTGCTCAATTCCGATAATTTATTAAAATTGCATTATACTTAATATCAAGTGATTATGTTTTGACCAGTTGTACAAAAAGTTGCAGGGGTAGAGGGATCATCTTGTCATCATGGTACAGGTGGCACAGTTGTTCGTCACTTCCACAGCGGATCCTAATTTGATAGACTGGAATGCATCTGTGGAAAAAAAATAGCAAAATGTGTCAAACACACCAGTCCTGTACAACACAAATTTCATGCTTGAGTACTTTGAAGAGGCAGAGTTAACATACAAACATGCACAAACGGTATCAAGGTCATACCTGGTAACATGTTAGGAACACAACATCAGAGATGAGGCTAAGAGCAATGAGGACAAATATATTATAACTGATGGTTTGTTGGTCTTGAAAGACCTCAATCAAAGTCTTAACTTCTTGTCTCAGCTGAGGTCAAAAGAATGATAGGTGAGGAAACTGATCTAACCTTCATCTGGAAAGGACTCAAAGTCTCTCTCACCTGTCTAAGAAGCTTGTGCCTGGTTCAGCCGATAAAGTTCATGACCACGAGATGCAGGATGATGTGAGCGAAGACGAAGTCTGCAAAGGCTCTCTCTGGAGAGATGTGGAGAAAGTCCTTCCTGTTCTGTGGGTTGACCTGCACTCTTAAACACACTGTGGAGAAATAGAGGCAGAATTTGGAACTTTCATCACCATTTGAGTATCATTTTTTATTAACACAAAGTAAACATATTTTTTTAATTTATGTTTTTTAAACATATTTTGACTTTATTAGGATCCACATTTAGCGTACAAACTGTAGCTATTCTTACTGTGGTCCATTCTGACATGTACACACAGAGAAGCAGTTTAATTTCGTGTTGGCTTGCACTGCTATCAAAGAGGAACGATGTTTACATATGATATATCCCGTATAATTTGCATAAGCTGACCTGCTTGAGAGTACTAGGTCTCTAAAGCATGCTGCTCGTTCTACTCAAATCATAACAATATATCGAGACTAAATTCTGCCAACTACGGCTAGGAACCCTCCCCTCGCCTCACCTGCCAGCACGAAGCTCGCCACGCACGAGATGAACCCGGACAGGAAAGAGTTGAACGGGAAGGTGCCGACCAGCAGGCAGTAGCCGAACTGGAAGATCCCGGTCAGCATGATGTAGGCCAGGTACGCGTCGATGATCTTGAGCCGCTGCGGCGTCGTGGTCACGTACTCGTCGTAAAACTTGGACACCACGGTGAAGACGTTCGCCTGAGAAGTCGCCATGGCGGGAAAAACAACAAGACGTCGCCGAGAAGTGGGTGTTTTCGTGGAGGAGTCCTCAGGTCAGTGCCACCGTGGCCGGCAAGATGGCGGAAGGGAGGAAAGGATCATGGGAAGGCAATCAGGTGTTGGCGTGTCCTGGACGCCACCTTGCGGCTAGATGCGGCATGGGACCTCGAAGGTGGAAGGAAGGTTGGCATTTTTGGCAAGGCTTTTTTTAACCATTTTGAGCTACATTTGTAGACGTGCGTTGCAAATTTGTTAACTGAAGTAACAAGGGATGCTATTTTGTGTTTATGAAATTCCGGGGCTTTTCTCAAGAGAGGCCAGTAAGATTTTTAGCAGAAACTTTACTGCACCGCAGTGAATCGTTATCTGCCCCCCTCCCACCTTTGAGGTAAACAGGGTCCTCCTGGCCTTGTTCGATTATATCCGGGGGTTTCTCTAAGTGAAACACAAAATACATACTGTACCAACGCGTATTAGCTCAGCGTATTCTAAACAGATCGTTTGTGAAGTGAACTTTCTTCTCCCCGATCCTTGTGTGGACGTCTAGATCTATATGAATAAATTATGATAATTACCAGTAGTGAAGGCGTTGCATTTCAATAAAATGTCTACAAACTCCTCATTGAATTCTACTTGCACTTTGTTTCTGCTTAAACGCATATATGTATTAGCTTTTAGATGCGCGGAACGTTTGTAACCGGTATACTTTTTCAGGACAATACTGTAATTGTAACAAATTTTGTCCCAATAAGACCACAAGCGAAAAGTGCAAATACTCATACTTTTTTCAGCTGGTAACCTATTTCGGGTTCATGCCTTAAACTAATGAGTAAGGAAAATAACGAGCCGGGGTGACGACCGGCTCCTAGCTCAGTTGCTAGAAGAATTTTTTAGGGGGTACAGGTCGCCCTCGAGTGACCCGCTTACTTCGCGGGATGCTCGTGTTGTAGTGATCTGCCCCAACCCCCCAAATTAATAAATCATTATCACATCATTTGGGTCAAATATGTTGCGCCTTCCACCAACAAGTCATCTGTTGTGTCTACCAACCTACCTATCTATTCTAGTATGACAACCATACAGCGAGTTGAAAATTTCAATTCAGCTTAAAGAAAAGTATTATTAAAGAAGAATTAATTTCTGGTCTCAGTTGCTTACTGGGGAGCTAAAATAAGTCAGGTAACCAGGCTAAGTTTGACTTAGAAGGTTGAATCTTTGATAATGTTACATGATAATGTTACTGGACCTTTTGTGGGGAAAGTCTGTCTGCACCCCTCTAGCAGATAGTCATGTACTGCACTAGGACCTTTTTTTTGGCGACACCTCAGGTGCGGTGGCTTTTAGTATACATGTGGTATGCTGGTATTATGTCCAGTTTGAAAAAAGTCTAGAAATTTGTTCTGGTCAGACTTACCTGTGAATGTCAGGTTGAAGCGGATCAGAAGACCTACATCTATGTACATGTGTCATTTCATGTTTTATCAAGACTTTTTTATCAAGACAAGAATTTCAAGAAAAACAGAAGAGTCCGACAAGATATTTTCTCATACAGAATCAGATGTATTCTGGATGTGTTATGTAATGTCATTTTATGTAATGTCATTTTCTTTTATGAATGTGAATATCACATACAATGTCTATAGCACAGCTATATCATTTGACATGGAGGTAGAATTTTTCTACCTCCATGGTTGAAGTTGATATACCTGACATAACAAATTAGGCAACAAGAATTTTCAAAATCCATCTAAAAACAATAACATATTATATGTATAAGATATAAATATATACAAGTCATGTACATGTGTGACTACAATACTGCATGACAATAACATTGATCATATGATTCATAGTGGAGGTTTTACCTATCACATACATTTTTACACAATTAACACTCAAATAGCTGGACATGTACATGTATAAACACCGTTCATCTTGTTATGGGGTACGGGGCTGTGAGATAAACCCGACAGTCACGCACAAAACATCACAATTGTGCAATCTTTCACCCAACATCTGCTTGGAGATTAGGTAGGTTGTCTTGTTTCTGAATCCATCTGTGGCTAATGCCAGTGTTGCCACCGTATGATCTGCTTGGTGATTACCACGGACAGCGACATTAGGGAGCCGGTGGAAACTTCTGAGGATAGCGCCCAGGCTACTACAATATGCCTGTACCTTTCCTAGTCTCCACCAGACTCCTTTTGCATGCATGCTGAATACGACCGTGCAGGCAAAATTCTCTGGGCGGCCAACTCCTCTGGCCAATTATATCCCCTTTAAGGCCGATTTCTACTATTTATTCTGCCTGAAAAAGGAGTCTGGTGTGGACTACACCTTTCCCGTGACCGGTCACATATCTACAACTTTTGATCCCCACGTCCCCGTAAAACCATATGTCAGCACCAGGAGGTATGTGTGCTTTTGATGTTCCGTAGAATGAGCGATAACAGGATACAAGTCGATAAGCTCTGTTTCCCTACAAATATTCAACACAATGCCATGTCACTCACAGCTTGTTCAGCTGCTATGGTGTACGCGTAAACAACTTTGGGGGACGTTGACTGGTAAAGATTACCTGTTCTATATCAATAGGGCACACCAATATTATTGACTTGATTTACTTTACTTCAAAAATTGTTATCCTTACACGATGGTTGATAAATATTGATGAAGACCTGGTTTTAGTAAGAGAAGGCAGGAATTCGAAAGCAAATTCATTCAAATATTTCACTGTTGATTTTCCTTGGCCTTCTCCAGACTTTTATCAATGGAATATCTGATTCCCTCAGACTAGTAAGATCGTGTACTTAAGTAATATTTTTTGTGAATCTTTTTGGGAGACTACTATATAAACTATTTTTATCTTCATCTACTGAAACAGTACGTTTCACATTTTATGTTCGTCAATATCCTTCATACGAATGAATCGACAACTGTTTAAGTGCCCTTCAGTCTATTTCTTGACAACGTCCTTCTGATAAAATGTCATCAATTTTCTCCTTCAACCGAGTAAAGTTCTTTCGTTTTTTCTTTTGCTGATCCCAGCATTTCTGTGCAATATTAAGATACTTTGAATCACATTGTTCAGGCATACATACTGGCCTTTTCCCTTGTTCTACGGCAAGTTTTGTCTCATGGGCACTGCCTGTGGCATATTCTGGTCTGTCGTATTTCCTAGCTATGCACATGAACCAAAAGATTATACCAAAGGCATAGATGTCGCATGTTCTGTTAGCTGATGAAAGGGAGTCGTAGTCCTCTGGAGCAATGTGGAAGGGTGGCTTTCCGTCCGGGTAGGGCACGCTGTCGTTTCGCAGCCCGAGGTTGTTGACTTTCACGTGGCCATTGTCGTCCAGCTAAACATGTAAACGACAGGTCAAACATCGATAAGTTTAACTGCCATACAAAGACAATAAAGTATGCCTCAACAGCGAATAGCTGCTGACATCACCATACTACAATCGGTATTTGGTACAGTATGAAGAGGACTAAGAAGCAGGCACTTTGTAAGAGACCAGCACAGGCCTAAAGTATTTTACTAGCCCTACAATCACTGATTAGCACCATTACTACAAACAAGATGAAACGTTCAAGTTGGACGCATTGTACATTGTAAAGATCACGTACCAAAACATTTGTCACTCGAAGATCATTGAACTGCAGTTCTATCTGGTGAAGATATTCTCCGGCATCACAGATCTCTCTGGCAATCTGGAGGCAATGCCGCAAATCGGGAGGACTCCCACAAGTCAGCATGGTGTAGAGGGACTTGCTGTAGGCAGGAGTGACGATTCCTCTCCGCCAGACTCCATCTTCTTGCAGTAGTGTTGGGCCTATCCAGGGGACGACGCTTGTGTGTCTTGGGGTGAATCTGAAAAAAAAAAAGACAAAACATAAAGAGTGAGGTGTCGTGAGTGGGAGACTGAAAATGTGTTAGACTTAAAGTAACATTTAGGGCCTAGGGGACTTGTTTGATGTACAAAAAGCCACCGCAGATTTGGACATTTGAATGCTTTTTGATTACATACACATGTATGTGAAAGTTTTGTGTGAACAAAATACACCTTGGTTTCATTTTATTACTTCATCCTCAGTGGAGTGAGTTGATTATTGGTGTGTGTGTGTGTGTGTGTGTGTGTGTTTCCAGCCGACTCACAAAGCAATATGGGTAAAAGAGCTTGCCATCTCTCTTCAGTGCCTTGCTAGAATTTGTAGGAATTGATTGTCGAAGTAAACGGCAATGTGACAAGCAGCAAAACGTATCATACTGGCAGTGTGTACCCATGGAACATACCTGTCTGTGTACAGCCGCATGGCCAATGCATCATTCCACGTTAGAAAGGACTGTGCAGGCGACCTGTCAGATACGGCGTCAGAGGATACCGGAGGTGTATCGACACGGGTTTGCCCTGGTGACTGCCCGCTGGTTTCTGCTTGTGTCGGTGACGGTCCCTGTGCTCCCGCGTCCGATTCCTGCAGACCGCGTGGCTCTTCAGCGTGGCTCTTCAGTTCTTCAGCGTCGTTTTCGACGGTGGTAACAGCAGTTGACTGACGCGAACACCACGGCATGAACTTACGCGTCTTCGTGTTTATTCCTAAGTATATAGGAACAGCTGAAGAACAGTCTGTCTCATCCTCTACAAGCTTCACCGGTCCATTCTCGAGCTGATTCAACAGACTGTTTGTTTCACATAGTTCTAGAGCGATCTGTGGAGCTAGGACTGCTAGCTGTGTTATCGTACTTTCATCATTCAACATGGCCGCTGTCAGTGATGTGTCAATGGTTGCTTTCAAGGTGTCCCTTGATGTCTTCAGCTGGCTCAACAAGGCTACCTGTAGCTCATGAGCAACGTCAGCCAAATTGAGCTTTTTCCAAACGTCTAATGCTACCTCTCTTTTCCAGTCGCTACCAACATCCATGAACCCATCTCCAATAATAATTGACATCCCCGTACTAAACCAATGCTTGATTGCAGCCCACCTGCTTTGTTGATCATCGGAGAAGTTATAGGTACCAAGGACTGTGTTTCTGTCACAGTAACAATATTCTGCCTGTCTTCGCACAAAAGACACAACTGCATCATGAACCCCTGGCATTACACCGTAATCTACCTCAAATCGTTTAATATTTGACTTTAACTCTTGTCGGAAGCGGTTACCGAGGTCTTTGTCAACGTCGGTGATGATTTGCATGGTTCTACTGACAACTAGATTGCGAATCTGCTTGATACACTGCTGAATGACTTCGTCTCTCCTGATCTCAGAACCTATAGAAAGAGTGGAATATGTCATGGATGCGGCAGCGTCCAAGACCATGAGTTTCTGACTTCTAAGTTTCTGACATATCGTTTCTCTACTTTGCTTTGCAATATCTTTCAAATCATTATACAGAACATTCTGAAACCTGTCGATGGCAGTAGTGCTCTTTGGAGAGTTAACACGAGTGCTGTGTTTATTCCCTAGGTGAGTGATGATTAGCTGGGTTTGTAACTTATCAAGTGTTAACAGAGATTCCCGCAAACAAGTCTGAATTGTCGCGGTGATGGTCCTAGTGAGGCATTCCGTCATAGACTTAAACGGTTCGGAGAACGACGGGTCCCCTCTTCCCTTTCTAGCCTTGCGTACTTGTTTGGCGGAGATACCGTGATAGACACTACAGGTACCATCTTTCTCCAGGGCAAGGTAGCCTTCTTCGACAAGCTGTTGACGGACTTTACTGTCTTTACTAGCTGTATCGTTAGTTGCATCTTCTCTTTCTTCATCGTCAGACAGAGTATCGAGCTCACCGCTGTAAACGTCGACTTTGTTACAAACTAAGAAAAATGGGGCGTCGGGTCTTCGCTGTCTTAGGTGGTCCAAGAGATGTCGGTCCTGCACAGCACAAATACAGAACACCGCCACCAGTATTAGGAGAACCAAGAATATTTATAACTAGGTACATTACTGTATATACGGTTCTTGGCTGAGCTCGAGCATATCGCCATCGGTTCAGTATAGCACAGGCTGCTCGTTTAGAAACATGATAATGATTTACTGGCATATTCATTTAAAGTTAAGGTAAAGCAGCCATTCTCAACTCAGAGATGATGCGTTTTTAAGTAGCCACTACTACTAGTGCAATGCGGCTGCGTTTGTAGCCAAGTACACTGGGCCACTTCTACCATTCTCGATAAGTGTGTTGAGTCCTTTTACGTACACATGTTTGGCGCTTGAGGCTTTGCGTGATACAGATTAAGCACTACTAGTATATGGAGTATGGGGGCCGCGGAAAACCAAGTAAGGCATGCGGGCAAGCATTATATGTAGCTTACGACTAAAACTGGAAAATCAGTTGATGCACATCCAACAATATAAGGACTGTCGTCTTACCTCATTCCTGAGCCCGTAGTTTCCGTCGATCACATACAGGAACAGTTGAAAGATCCCATCCGTGACACCTCGGATGACGTTATCTAAGTATTCATTTTGCCCAACGCCTGGCGTATCGATCAACTCAACACCGTTCTTAAGTAGATCGTGATCCAACCCTACTTTAACGAGAAGTTGCTCGCTAGTAGTGTTAGCACAATCGCCATCTTTGATACTGAAATTTGCTTGTACCCTTCTTTTTTTCAACTTTTCTTTTGTACTCATTTCATTTCCCTTTTCATTGACCAACTGTTGGAACTCATCTTTGCTATATAGTAGTTTTATAGGCAGCTTTGTACAGGGCAGATCTGACACGGGAAGGACATCTGCCCCAAGAATTTCATTTATGACCGAACTTTTGCCCGAGTTTGTCTGACCTAGCACTACGATTTGGAAAGCCGAAATTAGTGGTCTTTGTATTCGAGCAAAGTCCTCTCTGGTGACGAATTTACTTTGTTTCTCATGAGCTTTAGGATACAGTTCACTGATCGTGGTAAGGAAATAGTCAGCACACCATTGAAGACTCTCTTTGAGGTAGGCAAGGGTTTGCAGATCTGTGGTGGCTCCGACTTCGTGAGTCCCCTCCATGCTATAAACACAAATGAAGGATGTGATTTCATATGCGCTAGACTCGAGTGATGCAACAATAGCATAATTACAATTTTGCATGCCAGAAAGGTGGTCATTCTTTTCATCAACCCATTACTGCCAAGTATCTCTGGCCTTGAAAAGTAAACTTCATTTCTCTTCAGATAAAACAAAAAGACTACTACGCTCTAGTTTAGGCACATATACATTGTCCAATAGCTTAGTCACTCTATAACGTAGCTATAGATAAACTGGCTACGATATCATAAAATTCAGTAAATAGACATGTAACAAAACTTTTCTATGGAGAAGAATCTTCAGCTCTATACTCAAATAAGGAAGACATTTGTAAGAGAGTACTTGCATAGCATTACATTTTACATACCTCGGACGCTCTTATGTCAGCTCTACAAAAATCTTCATTCTTCTGCGTAGGCAGTGAATATCTCTATAATCCCCATTGTAGTAACTCTGCAACCGAACAAAGAATTTTATTGTCCAAGTCGTCTACGGAGGGATTGGTGATTAGGTAAATGGTAGGTGCCAGCGACATAAAAGGAAACTTGTAGAATGATTGATGACACGTTGGTAGATTTGATGTTTGCACATTTAATGGCTGTTTTTTAACTCAAGGTTTATTTGACCTTAGGTAAAGCACCTCTCATAACTCAAAGGTTATCTGGACCAGATTCAATATTTGCTTCAATTTGCTGCGTCTCCAATTTTTATCTGATGAGGATATGAGCATGCACAATTCAATAAGAAGAAAGTAGTTATCCTAGCCGACTTTTCTGTCACAACTGCAATGATTCGTTTTGATAGCAGATGCTGATTTCAAGGCAAAAAAATCCTCTACTACATTAAAGAATGTTCTTTAAGACGTTTGCGGGCGATGCTACAGACAGATATGCCACAGAAACGTATAAAGAAAATTTGCCTTGTTTTCGCAACCTGTACACATGATTGTCATTACATGATGTTACCCATAAGGCAACGGTGTTCTGCCCAGCAACGGCCACGTGCGTGATGCTATTTTTAACGCTGACCTCTCTGGGGAACATGTACCTGTAGCAGAGTGTAAGCCACACTCTGATCATATTCATCAACCACGAATCAAACACTACATTGATGTTAATTAAGTAAGCTCTCATAACCATTTTCACCATCAATGCATGGAAGGGGCCTACAGTAAACATGGATGAAATTAGTGTACGATACATCATTTTCACAACATCCATCTACCAGGAGGCAATCTCGATCTCGAGCCATTGATATGAAAGTCAGAATCACAAAGGACGAAGATTTAAAGGGATTTTCAGTAATTTCATCACCAATGTGCTGCTGCATATCATTATTCTCCCACGCAGTGTATGTCCCGCGACAATACTACTACCTTTGGTCTAAAGATAGCATTGCCTCGGGACAGACTCTGTGTGGGAGGATGTTGTTTATCGAACTCGTACTGTTTGCTGCCCAGCAAATAGTTCAAAGTTCAGGATGATTACTAGGTTTCTTAGTAGCCCCGAAGCAGAGCCAGTATCGGCGAGGGACCGGGCGGTACTGTCAGCTGTCGTGTAGGTGCACACGGGCATGATGCATCGATGGCACGCGTAGTCAGTTGCAAAAGAGAGTAAGAGTTCGTTGCTTTCATTTGACATACCTTTAGTATGGAGTGGCCCTCCTGACTGGTTTTAAAAATTGCTTATAAAGGAAAGAAAGCAGAGCTATGATAGTATCGTTAACATGAGTTTAAACAGGTAGGGCGTCATCTCTATCGCGATCGGAAAGAACCCAAGAACCTAGCTGAGAATTATGTTGCAGAGCGCTATTCTCCGCGATGGGGGTTGGGATTTTAAACTTAAACTTGACGACGTGAAGGGCTTGTGTCAAAGAACAGCAAAAGTCGTCCAGGATGTACCTATTTGTGAAGTACAGGAAGAGGTAGGGAACATATTGTTGTCCGAAACAAAAAAGCGTAAATTAGACCAGCTCCTTGCGAATTACGAAGTTCCCATTCTCGTACTTGGGCGGAAGGGATGTGGAAAATCGTGTATAATCAACGAGCTGTTAGGTGGTGATTATTTGCCCGAGCCCACAACTACACAAACCACGTTTCGGCTACGCTTCAGTGATGACACTTATGTCAGCTTGCAAGACAGCGAAGGGAAGGAAATCTATAGTCGTGTGAAACCTGAATCTGAAAAACCAAAAGCCTTAAAGTGCACCATATCCAAGGAAATTAAGGAAAACAGCACTCAAGCACAGAGTACCCCCGGCAGTGCCCTGACCGTCGAAGTGGGGTTAAATTACCCAGGCCTTAGCAAGGTAAAGATAGTTGAATCCCCGGCCCTCGATAATCAAGCATCAACCGATATCTTCGTCAACGAATACCTCGCGAATGAATTTGACTCTCCAGTTGTCGTGTACGTCATAGATGGCAATGATGGAGTCAAGCTACAGGTAAGTGCGAAAATCATTCACGCATGCACAGATGTGTACATAATTTGAGGTATCAGACTTGAATAGTTTGTAACAGTTCATACTTAACATGAAGTGACTGTGTAACTGTATAACGTTGTATCATGAGCCACAACGTTAACGTCCCCACGTATATCCCGCTCAAATGGCTTCTGTCTTATTTGCATTGAGATCTCCATCTTGGACATGTATTATGAGGCATTCTTCAGAAACATGACGTCAATACCGTTTAAATGCAGGATCGCTACAACATACGCAAAGTGCAAGAGGCACTTCGACCAGCGTCTCGACATGTTGAGTCAAACATGCTGTGTGTTTGCAACAAAATCGACGTCGATAAAGACCAAGAAGAGCTAAATACCGCTGAAGATGAGGAAGAGGAAGGCGCGAGTTCAACTCAGCAAGTTGATAAAGCAGCCAAGGTGTACGAAGATTTGAAATCATATGGGTACTTCGCGACAGATCTATCAGTCCTTAACTTTTACAAGATCTCCGCGAAGAATATGCTACGTGAGCGTAAACGTGAAGAGAAGACGAGAAAAAAGTCTAAAGCACCGACTAAGTCACAGAAGCTAGCAACAGGCAAGGAGGACCAGGAGAAGGAACGATTTCTAAGCTCCATCGTAGACCGTACGAAGCTACTTGCAGACCAGAAGCTTGCAGAGGCATTGGCAACAATGATAGTAGATCAAAACCACTGTTTGAGCATGCTGTCCCTTCATCAGTTTGACATGATTAACAAATGTGGCAAGGACTCAGCTATAGGTAGACGTTGTGCAGTTGCTATGACGAAGCTCGAGGAGACGTACGGCCAGCTTAACAGCCTTCTCAATGAAGAATTTGTGTTGTCTGCTATTCGTAACGCAATCGTAACAGCAGCTAATCATGAAAACTGCGACTGTGCCACGTTCGAACGAATCCAAACAGACACTATCATAACGGAGTCTAGCTTTGACATTGTACTACAACTTATGTTGATGAGTCACACGAGCAGAGTAAGGGATACGCTAAGTAAGACTCTAACACAGCAGCTTCCCTCTCATGCGACAACAGCAGTAATCGCAGGATTTTCTAAGTCGTTAAGTCCCGTTTACACTGCTTTCGACGAGGAACTATCACAGAACGTATGCGAAGTGGTAATTGAAAACACACTGAGCGTTATCTCAAAAGCTTTTGGCGTCGCAATGATAGAAGAATCTTTCCTGTCAGTCGGAGCAAGGGGTTTAAGCTCCTTGGTCAGAGATATATGGGGTGCGTTTGAAAGACAACTATCCAGCTTAAGCCTCGAAGTGTCGCGTGTGCAGTCACTAGCTCTCGAACAACTGAATGCTGAATTTGTAAGAAAAAGAAGATCACTCGAGCAAGTGAAACAGTTCAGCATTGAGGCGTCGGAAACTTTCGAAACCCATCAGTTGCTCGGACACGTTCGTGACGATGTGGCGGAATGCTACGTCAAAGCGCGGGCCATTCATTTTGGGCTAAAGGGTTGTGAAGTGTCGCTGACAGACGAAATTGCTCGGGGAGGTCGTACTGTTACACGCGAATGCACTACAAAAGGATGGGGCAGCATTGGCACCGTGGTCACGAAGGTACTCGAAAGGCAGAGGCTCATCGATGGTGAATGGGAAAGAGCCCACTCGGCCCTGTTTCTCGCGAGGTATGAGATATTGTTGTTTTACAATTAGATATTTTTTTCTTGAATATTATAATAGGACTTCATACTGAGGAAAATCAAACGCTTTTTGAATGGTTAATTGCCCTGAAAGCGATATCCCATCTTCTACTTTCTCCGTACAGTTACGTTCTGGACAACGGACGCACTCAACATCTCACAGCCGTGTACGGATGGCTGATGCCCGACCCCAACACACTACATGTCGTCACGGAGCGAGCAGAGATGGACTTAGTGACTGCACTCCGCCGACGAGTTGCACTTCTCCCCGTGGACAAGCGTCGTGACATCGCCCTAGATGTAGCAAGGGGGCTGCAGGGGCTTCATGACTTGGGCTTCGTGTTTGGAGACCTCAAACCTCGAAACGTTTTGGTGAGTTTCATTCAGTACGCCTCACATGATGTGTTTGTTCTTTGTAGACATCAGAAGCATAAAATACATGCCACTGATCTTCAACACTCACAAGCAGCAGAAACCATCTCTTTTACTTACAGAAAAATTTACATAAAATGATCTCATTGTCTTACAATTGCAGTTGTTAACACTATTAATTCCCAATATATTGTCAAATTTTAGTTATTCCCCGGGCTCGTCGCCAAAATCAACATTGCGAAGTCACCGCGCCCCTTCTCGCCTACCACGGAGACAGGCACACCGTTCCACCTCAGCCCCTATGTTTACCGGGCACACGGGCTGTCTGACGTCCGAGCCGACATCTATGCCTTCGGTATGCTGCTGTGGTTCCTTTGGGATGCCAGGTGCAGGCGCCCGGCTGTATATGCGAACTGTAGGGACAATCAAGCAATGGAGCAGGCTGTTTGCAATGGCGTTCGTCCTGACAGGCCAGCAGAAAGTAATGACCTCTGCTGGCAGTTAATGCAACAGTGTTGGAACATCGAAGACAGCAAGATTTGTGCAAATGATGTGGTTGAAACACTCTTATCTGACACACTTGCCACCAGTTGTAATGTTCCTTCTTAAGTGTTCCTTTAGAACAAGGACTGGAAGCCTTGAAGAGCGTTCCGTAATATCGCCAATTCTGGACAAAGACTCGGTAGATCACGATATTATAGCCATTTAGCACCAGAATAAACTTCACTTAACCGTATTGCTGCAAATAAACTTGAGTCATCTTTGAAAGGTGTCTTGTTTTTTAAGTGCAACAGAGAATAACAAACTCTACGGGGTAAGAGTAATCATAATATCAACATGATAGTACACATTCAGTGCAAAGCATGACGTGACGACAAGCTTAAGGATAATGACTCCTGTCCATCGCGAAAGGCAAGAAATTATCAACAACTGCTACAAGACCTAATTCATTTACTTGCTTGGCCACATCATCAGAAGCTCAATCCCTAATCTGTTTTGCAAGAATTTTAAACATTAATTCGGGTATACGGTGTAACTCACTACAGTACTCACTCTGTAGTACATAAGTACATGTACGCCTAAATCATATGTCTCTGCTACCTGTTTGCTGCCGTTGCAAATCGGATGGCACCCAGGCTATCTTCGCAGATGTAGGTACGATAAATGATGGTCTTACTAATACCGAACTCGGGCACAGAGAGTTTAGCCTGGGTGCCATCCTATTTTTATGCCGGGGCTCCTACTAGTTGTTAGGGAGCGAGTATGGGAGCCCAGGCATCCATACAGGATGGCACCCAGGCTATATCGAGTTTAGACCTGTCTTTAAAACTAGACCAGATTCGAGGCCACTTTATCTATAGCACTAAATCATGGGACATAGGGTTTCCATTGCGACCAAGGCCTGCGGAATCGTTTGGTTGCAGGAACGCCGTAACAGCATTTATTACAAAGAATACCCAGTACAAGTGCAACGGGGGACATTCTTGTATTACTAGCAATCTCCAAGAAGATGTTGGGAGAGTAAATTATAGCTATATATTCTCTGGCTGCTCCGTTTTCCTGGCATACAGCTCTCCCGACGTTACGACCTGCAACCAAGCACTTTTAAGTTTGATTTTTAGGTTCTTGGCGCAGCACACGTTTCATGGAAAATGAGATATTTTCATTTAAGTGAGAACAATATAACATTGAGAAACCTACCTTCTTCACATACACATGATACACGCCTGTAGATTGCTTTCAGTACGTCAATGTTTGACACATCTCCAACTGAACGGTTGGCGGTGGTAGACGAACATTTGGATGCAGTAATTATAACGGCAGAATCCAAAGTCCTAGTATCCAACCCAAAGGTAACATACAGAGCCCGTCTTGCTTGAACAAACAACTGGCGGCGACAAAAAGTAAACACAGGTGTACACGTGTAACATACCTTTAGATGCATGTGACCCTTCGAGTATTTGCTTTTGGCACCTTTATCGCAACCTAGAAGGCAAAGCTCTGGGACAGGGTGAGAACGCGCAGTTGTCAGCATGGCGGCACAGTTGACGGAGGGTCTGAAGAAAACTTTCGAAGACTTCGATAGCCAGAAACGACAATTCAAAGAACTCTATGCTGATGTCGTGGAGATCTTCGAACAGCTCAAGGAGAATGTCAGTGACAGTCCAGTGTTTTTAACACCGGAGACCAAATTGAAAATCGAGCACTTCATACAAGGCGAAACACCGTCGCTTCTGTTGGTAGGTCAGACGAATTGCGGAAAGAGCTCGCTCATTAACCAGCTACTGTTTGAAAGAACAGTTCTTGCAGCGGCGGAGACGCCATGCACCGCGCGAATGGTCCGGCTGAAGTATGGGGAAACACCGCGGATTCGAGTCATTGCTGCAAATGGTGAAGTTCTGGAAGAACACCGACCGCAAAAGGCGATCTTGAAAAGAGAGTTTGTGGAACTTTCGGACAATGATCGGAAAGACGAGAAACTCACGTCCTCCTCCGTCGTGGCAGAACTCCCCATCCCCTTCCTGGCTGGCGGCGTCGAAGTCATTGACACTCCCGGGAGGAATGAGAACAAGGCACTAGATGAAGTGGTTGACATACAACTGAACAGTATACTGCCCATCATAGTATACGTGATAGACGGGAGGAAGCTAATCACCAAGCAGGTAGGCGGCAAACTATTTCTACGCAAATAAACTAGCTTAGGAAGTTACGTTACTACAGATCTTTTGTTCGTGTTACTATGTTTCTAATGTGCTTGTGGTTTAGCATTGGAACTCTAGAAGCTATATAGATAGTGGATTTATTCAAAGTTTGGTATGAGGTTAGGCTTTAGCCTATCGAGGAAATTGTTAAATTTTGTGCCCCCTGGAGATTTTCCCTGGTACTACTATTTCGTGTTCTGGGCTAGCCATGGTGACGGTTTTATAATTAGGTGGTAGACAGCCCAAGTGGAAGAAGTGACGAATCGTTTGGGACATCTAGCGTCTGTCTTTGGAACTGCATGATGTTTGGTTAGTTATAAAGTGTTTGTTTAGTTGGTCCAAAAGTTGATTGTTTGTTTTATTGGTTAATTAGTTGTTTGGTCTGTTGGCTTGTTAATCTATTGGTTAATTGGTTTTACATTTGGTTAGTTGGTCAGTGGTGTACGGGGTGTTTAGCTAATTGATTTTCTCTATATCTACACAGCTGTACATGGGACTCTATGTGGGTTAACATTGTTACTATAGATATGGAATCTGAAGCAACAAATGTTTAATTAAGAAATTGTCTCTTTAGTCTGTCTCGGGTTTTTTATTTGTTTTCCCTTCTTTTACATTCAGGATTGTGAAGATCTGAGACAAATCAAAGACAAGTTCCCAACATTGCCAATTTTCTATGTCTTAACAAAGATAGATCCGGCAGATCCTGACATGTATGAGTCCGATAGTGATTCTGACTCTGAGGAAAACAACATCGAGGACGAAATCGAAAGAAAAAAAGAAGAGGTTTTCAAAATCCTGGTAGCTGAAGACTTCATTGATGAATCAGAGGCAAACTTCAACACAAGTGAATTCTTCCACGCAGTGTCCTCACTCAAACTGAAACAACTCAGGCTTGGCAACAAAGACGTGGAGAAAGTGTACGAGGCACAGTCTAGTCGTCTGAAATCCTGTCTTCAAAAATTTGTGTCAGACGCTCTCACAAAGCATTTCCTTGCCATAGCAAACTGTCTACAGAAGGCAATCGAGCAGTGTCTTGATATTTACATCAAGACAGCCACAAAGATAAGAGAGTCCAACAAGGTCATTGACGACAGTCTAGATGCAGTGAAGAAGTACAGGGACATGATGTACGGGAACACAAAGACAGAACAAGAAAGGCACAAGGACGGGCTGGACAAGGTGTTAACTGACATCTTTCAAAACCCGGAGACACGCAGTAGCATTGTTCAAGAGATAATCCAGACATACACGCCTAATCTTCACGTACCCCAAGAAGGTGTAGTGGAAGTTGACACATACAATCGTGTAAGGAGAGATTTTGAGGAACATGTTTTGACAAGAATACAAAACAAAGTTCTGAGTGCCATAAAATCTCACTTTGAACACACCAAATGGCTTATCGGTATAAAGAATGCAATAGGCAATGTAGAGGAGACCAAGGAGTCTTTGGAAGTTGTCAGAGCAATCAGCAAGCTTGTTGACTCATTCTATGGGGTTAATGTTAGTATAATCGTCTATCGGCCAGATAAGTTGATTGATAAGGTTTTCTTCAAGATCAGAGACATGCTACGAGCGACCAAGCGGTTTTTGAAACATCCTTTTGACACAGTCCGAGGACTCAAACATATCGGCGAACCATGGAGAAGAGAACTGTGTGAACGTGTTTTTCACAACATTGACTGCAAGCGCCTCAAGGAAGAGGTTGGAAGGACTGTTGAAGAGATGATGACTGAAGGGGTCAGAAATCTGAACACATGCCTTGATGATCTGAGGGAATTGTGGCAAAAACGAAGAAACCTGAGTTCTGAGGAAAGGAAAGCAATCTTGAAATTTGGACCAAAGCTTGCTCATATCACACTCTTCCTGCAGTCAGACAAAGACAAAGCAAAGTTTGGTATCCCACATGTCACAGACAAGGACAAAATTGGTGAAGGTGGGCAGGCACAGGTATTCAGGTGTCCAGCTGACTATGGCCCAGAGGGAGTCACTTGTGCTGTCAAACAAATGGAGATCAGCTGTACAGAAGACTTGACACAGACAGCACTAGAGGCGTATCAGAGTCGGTGAGTAAACTTTGTTTTGGTATTTTACTGTTTGGATACAATAAAGGAGTTCAGAAAAATTCCTTTATGCTGCTTTTTTATGTAATTAATGTTATATGATTTCAATATTAAATGTGTAATTCTTATCCAGTGTGCATTCCAATATACTAGTAATTGTAACTTGTCATCCATACATACACATAGTTAAGTAGCAATACACAAATATCCACATTTTTCCAAATTCTCTACCAAGCAAACCTTAGTAGCAGCCGGGTCTTTTTATCTCCTTCTCTATCTGCAGAAGGAAAGGACACAATCTGCTTCCATTAAGATACTTTTTTCTGTTTATCTGTTTGTGCTACAGCCAGTGGGGAAGTGAGTGGGGAGATTGCCAACAGAACCTTCTCCCCCTGCTGGCCTGCATCATCAGGAAACAGGATGAAACACACCACGTCTACCTCGTGACAAAACTGATGAAGACAGACTTGGCTGACGCGCTACCGGGCATCACAGACATCTCCGACAGACTCCGCATTGCCATAGATGTCGCCAAGGCGCTGGACTTTCTACACCAACACGACATCATCCACCGAGACATCAAGCCCCAAAATATCTTGGTGAGTGTGTGGTTCTTTTTTCTTTGTATAAGGCCACACCAATTTAATTTGTTGGTTCTCGGATTTTTTCAGAAAAAATATGAAGCGACAGGGCGAAAAAAAATAAAAATAAAAACAGGTCTAGGCATCCTATTATAGCCCCAAATGCTACAATATGAGCCATGAAGTCAACAAAAAAGGCTGGGTTAAAATTTAAAGTATAAATTTTGAACTTTTAATCAAACCACTGCATTGATAGATGGAAAAAAACTGTAACAACTAGGAAGAAAAGGAATTTCCTCAACTGTTGGGGGCAAAATATGAGCATTTTTGAGTTGATTCAGAACCAGAATACTTCAACTTACTTGAACTATACTTGAAATGAACTTGGTGCCTTGACTGATTACAGCAAGGAGTTTAATTGTTTCAAAGTTACACAGTGCTAGGCATTTCAACATATCTAACATAAAAAAAGGTTGCTGACCTCTTCAATTTAATTAAAAAAGATTGATTTTTTTTTAGTTTTGGTGTCAGACAAAACGGCACCTTAATGCACAATCGGTATACTAAAAGGCATTTAGTAGAAAAAGCATACACTTGTTTTTCACAGCTGGATGAACAGAACCAGGTGTTTGTTGCAGACTTTGGACTGGCCAAGCCGGCAGGGCTGGTACAGGGCTCATTTGTAGGCACACCTCTCTTCATGGGACCAGAAGTGTCTCAGCTGGAGCAACGTGAGTTACTGGCAAGGGCAGAGGGCAAAGATGAAAAAGAGATCTACTATGACTTTAAGGCAGATGTCTTTGCATATGGCATTCTCTTGTGGTTCCTTTGCGTGGGGTCAATTACAGCCCCCCAAGAGTATGTACATGCTGCTCCCCTCATAGCTCTTCTCTTTCGTGTGAGGCCAAATCACATTTTAATGACAGAAATGGGGATTCGTCCAGAAAAGCGTGATTTCCCTCCTGGCTGTTGGGATGTCATGACAAAATGTTGGGATGGGAACCCTGATAACAGGCCAACCATGACTCAGGTTCTGCAAGACCTCACTGCCATCCATGAGAAATTAGTCACAGCATAAGAACAAAACTATATCTGAAACTGGCAACCTGAAGTGACATATTTTCTGCAATTTATTTCCTATACTGTTTGGTTTTTAACGAAAAATGCAATAAAACTGCTAGCTCAAACAATCTATGGTAGAAATCATCTGTTGCATTAGCCTGGTTACCAGACCTATTATAGCTCTCGAGTCCTACAGCCTCTCCGCAAATAGTATTGCGACTCAGGAGCTATAATAGGTTTGGTAACCAGGTTACTGTTGCATGCGCATTTGCATCCTAATCAACGATTGAGAGACTTCATGTACCCTCTGGATGGACTTTTGTGTTTGACCAGTCTGACTTGTGATGATCTGGTAAATGGCGCTTTTTCAGGTTAACACTGATGATGTGCAGATGAGATGTGGAATAGTTGGGATATGCTGAAGAATATAAAAATACATATTTCAATTTAGTATAAGCAATAAGTTTATTTTACAGCAGTTTCATATCACAATAGTGCAAAATGGGTGCACAACACAATACATGTAACAGCTTCAATGTGATCAAACAGGTATCATTACTAATTCTCTCACTAATAAAAACTTGAAGACATGAGCCTGCAGAGGATAACAAAGTAACCTGTAAATGTTACTTCATGACAGTGAGAAGTCGACATGGACAATTATTGTCTGTTTTTGCTGATAAAAATCTGATATGTACGTACCATTTTGCTGAGATTAGTATGAAGATCCTTAAGTATCTAGTTTCTACATGTAAGTGAAACTTACAAACCCTCACAGCTACAGTTCTAACTTTAAACGCCCCCCCCCCCCATGCACTGTGTTTCCCAATCTGTAAGCAAGTGGTCAACCTTGTCTGCCTGCACTACTCAAATGTAGTCGGAACCAGAATCACATATTCAACCATCTAAAACAAATACTAGGCCTACTGAGCAAGACATTTTGAATTACAAAGAAGTCACAAGTTGTCACCATCATAATCTACATTGTATCATTCCTTTCTCAAATTCTGTCATACAGTCATGGACCACTTGTGATTTAAAATCAGTCTCTATGTCATGGAATGTTCAAAATAATCTTTGGGAAGTTCAGAAAATAAAAAGATTCACAAAATTGGTCCAATCAAGTACACAATATTTTGGTCAGTTCTTGGATATGCATGAAGGGGAAAGGGTGCAAATGACAACACAGTATTCTTTGCAGCTTTATACATCAAGTAGTCAAAATGAGTGGTAACACAACATACCAGACTACTATTTGCTGGCATGGATCCTTCAGATGAAGTATAATTGTTTTTTTGCTTTTCTCAGATATCATGTAAGTTGTAACGAGAAGTGTATGTGACCATGAGTTGTTGTAAACATCTATTAAACAATTTTCACAAAACACAACAATCTTTCAACTGACACATAGGAACAACAACATGACATAACATCAAAGGATGTATACAGAAAGTTACTAAGGCTATCCTACATGGAATGTTGTTCAGAACTTCTGGACGGTAAAGCTTGAAAATAGAAACTTGAACTGTACCAGGGAACCATGGAAATGATCTGGGCTATTTTTTCTTTGGAGATACAAGAGCTAACATGTTTACTAGAGCCTATTTAAACTGAACGAAGGTCTAAAACTTGAATTCCTAGCAAAGAGGAAGGAAAGATTACGAGTAGCCAGTAAATATTGATAGTATGGGCATCCTTGAAGTGACAGTAACAATCAGCATAATAAAGATATGTAAGTACAAAAGTTATACATTACTACCTACCACCATTATGTACAATGTACAGCATACATGTATCTTCAAATAATCTTGTCATCTAACTAAGTGAAAACATAAAAGTATTTTAAGCAACTTATAATTGTATGTAATACATTGGTTACTTTCATCAATAACTACATATGCATGCTTTCCTCTTGCAATTTATGAGACAACAGAAATGTAGAGAAGGCTTGTACCATATATTGAGTTGTATATTGCTGTTTGTATATTCAACTATCGTGTGTTGAGGTGCTGAGAAGGTAGAAGTTCATTATATGGATATGATACATGATAAGAACTAAATAAACCCTGTACACTCCCCACAGAAATATTCCTGTAACATTCATGCTGTGTTGTGACCGAGTCTCTCTTGTAAGGCTTCTTTTGTTTTCAGTCATATCGTACATACACAAGCCTTCTACAACACAGAACAGTTTATAAAGGAGGATCACAGACCCTGCTAAGTAGCACATCAGCAGAATGTACAGCGCTTGTGCAAAACCTCATTTTTCGCGGTTTTCGTTGGATGTTTGGTGGATGTTGCATCAGACTTTTGACTGTTGCAGACGATATCTTTTCCAACACAACATTTGGAAACTACACACGTAGTGTTAACCTTATATGCGCGAATATGACCTTATATGAGATGTTCTTCCAAAGTGCTATGCATAATACATTACGGGTTTTGCGCAGGTGCAGTACGTTCTGCCGACGTGCTCTTCTAAGTACGTTAGACAGTTATAAGAAGGTTAGATGAACACATGATACAGATACAGGTGTTTGTAAGTTCTATTTGACCCTGTGTTTACTGGAGAGTTTGGAGCCGCTGGCAGCAGGTTGTACGGCCAGCTGTGGTTGTGTGGTGCCTTGCCTGCTGCTGCCTCCCACTGCTGCTGCTGCCGCCGTCGCGCCCCCGGCCGGTTTGGACATGGATGTGATCACCAGGTCTTCCAGCAGATCTATGGACCGACCTTCCTTTTCCTGTCATGGACACAACAATGACCATTCAGGGACATGCGCACAAAATCCACACCATTTCATGTCACTTCTATCATGGTGCTACATTATCATTTTTACCACTGAGTTGACATTTGCACACTAGCTTTCACACACTTGTTTCAATAGCTTGAGAGAGAGAGAGAGAGAGAGAGAGAGAGAGAGAGAGAATGGTTTATTCAACAAAAAAACACTTGCAGCACAAGTGCTGAATTGCGGTTTTGCTTTGGGATATATATGACAAACTTAAAGCCATTCCTTCTCTTCTTACATTAGAATCTCCATGGCCACAATGACACCTTCCTCAACAGTGAAATGTTGTCCTAACAATAGTTTGATTGGAGAAACCTCTTCATCTAGCAAATCAAACACATCAGAAAAGATGATCTTTTCATGTCATGTCATGTTAGCAGAAACAAGAGTACTCACCGCCCTGTAGTCCAACATGAGCTCCTTGAAGGCCAGGAAGTCAGTAAAGGACACCAGCATGTCAAAGATCTCTCCACAAACCTCATCTTTTCTGGACCTGTAAACACAAATATGATACAGTGTATACATTCAGTACTACCCTTATTAAGTCAAATAAGGATGTCAAAAAGGCACATGCAATACGGACAATATTGACATGCCTCTCAACTGTGCTAAAGCCTCCTGGGCTCTAAATGTAGTCAACAAGATCACACAAAAGAAGCTGAGAGAAGCAAACTCACTCTAGAGCCTGTGCGAACTCCTGCATGTGGAACCCTGGCATCTTCCTGGCCAGGTTGGTTTCAAGGTACTTTTCTATTGTGTCAACCTGTGGCAGAAATCAAGCCCTTATTTATACCTTAAGATCATAATACTTCATACAAAAGAAACATTCTCAAGAAACACACAGGACTGATTTTATACTAGTTAAAGCCATTCCAGTAGTTATCATTAATCATACACAGAATTGCAATTTGGTTAAGTTCTGATGAATAATATATGGAGAGCAATGAAATGCCTAACATCAGGAAAGATAGCCTGATTACTTATTTATGACTTAGGTAATGTAGGGTCAGCATGAATGGAACATATGCCAGAAATGATGGCATATTTACGGGGTGTGACAACTCCTTTCAGTCATACTCACTCATATACCTTTTGAACATCTTCTTAAACAAGGTCATGTGTAATAAGGCTGAGGTGTAATGTCAATGACTACATGGCAACCATTCATGTCATGATATATCATCATACACATGACCAGAGCCAGGACACCCCACAACACAACACAACACACACACAACACAAGCTAAAAGGTCCACTTTTTATCTACAGGTCCAACATCTTTCTTTAAAAAGTGGACTGAGTTGTATCGCCAGCGGGACTGGAATCCTAGAAAACTGCTCACTTGTGTAAGTTTCTCTGATTTTTCCTTTGAAATCCTCTCAAAAATGCAGGAAATGCCATTTTAGAAGTTCAACTTTCAAAATTTTCCGGGGGAGTGTGCCCATGGACCCCCATAGGAAGCTCAAGCCTTTGGCACTGGCTGGTCCATCGGACGGTAGGAAGAATCCCCCCCCCCCCCAGGAGCAAAATCCTGGCATGATACACCATCCACCTACCCATTCCTTATGAATGTCTGTGTACACAAACTTGTTCTCTTCTGTGTCCTCAAACTCGATGTAGTACTTGTCCAGAAAATTGTTCTGCAGGTCTTGAAACTCCTCATCTGTGAAAAGTAAGAAACATGTAAGAAGGACTTCAGAAATGTTACCAACATAAAGAATGGTTCAAACAAAATAACAACAAATACTGCTAATATACCAACAGCTTTAATATTAAAACTAACAACTCAATTACAACTCTTACAACTGTTACACTTCAGCTAAGATATAATTGATGAGCTGCTGATATCAACATGCATATAAATCATATACTAATTCTCACTAATTCATAGATGAAAGATAGCACAGTTGAACATCATGACAGTTGAACGTCATGTGCACGCAACTTTAGGGTTGATGTATGCACAGACAATATGTGGCCTTGTGCGCTCAGTTTTCTTTGTGGATATCTGTATTGTGATCAGGACTCTTGGCATGATCTGTCCTTCAGCATTCAATTCATCATTGCCTGACGGGATCAAGTTGACAGCTTTTGCTCGTTCTTTTTTTTTCTTTACAACTTTCCCTGTTAGTAGTAGGCTGTTACACTTCGATGTTAGTACATGTACTACTAGTATGTGTGTCTCTGTAACCCAACACCCAGAATTAAATAGCTATAAGAAGTAAATGGGCCAAGGGGAGTATAGAATATATAATGATAATGCTATTAATAATTTACATGTGAATGAGATGGACACTTACCCATGATGATCTCTTCGATATACCCGACTGTCACGTCAAACTTTGTGTCTGCTATACTAGAGCTACAAAAAAAAGAGAGAATTTGGGCTTCAAATTTCAACAGATGCAACAAAATTGAAGACAAAGCTTTTCAGCAGGTACTTTTTTTCTAGTGGAGTACTTAACAATCTACCATTTTAGTACAAAGAAGAACATTGTGCTTACACTTCTTGCAGAATATAATCATAAAATCATTTATAAAATTCACCAATTCACATATTTTTTTTACAATGGCACACATTTTTGGACATATGATTTATGAACCAATTGAACAAAGGCAAAGCTATCTTCTTATCTTAACTGTATCTTATGATGAAGACTTATCTGTTTAAGGAATTGGGTTAAGAAAGACTTCTTACTTGGAAGACCCCAACATTTCCTCCTGGAAGTCCATAGGTTCAAGGTCGTCAAACTCTGGTACAGCTGCAGGGAGAAGGAACATCGGGGACTGATGACAACCAAATTTTCAATACCCTTATTGCAACAACTGTAAAACTGCGAGTTGTAAGATTAAATTTAAAAGAGTAGACTGTAAGAGTAGATCTCTTCGGGAGGGGTGGGAAGAAGGCAGTTGTTCCTTGAAGACTCTGAATACTCTGTCTAGGGCTCTTCTTCAAACATAAGGACTTATCTCCTGAACCTTAAGCTAACAAATGGACAGTTAAATGCCGGTAGCTGTCACTGTTGACAGGTTAATTGTTTTAAAGTGACACTCTACACCCGATCGTTACACGATTTGTTCGAACGGCACACACCTGTGCACGGATCAGACAAGTTTTCATCGATTGCTGAGCGAAAATTCCTCTGCTTTAGAAACACAATTGAGCTTTCTTGCAGCTTTGACACTTGTTTGGTACCCTTCAGATCTGTTTGAGGTAGTCTAAGTTCCATAAAAAAGACGTAAGAAGTTCAATACTCCGGTAACAACAGGTAAACAAACGGAAAATCATCTTACCTGCGGTCGCCATCTTGAACGGAATGTACCGAATGCGCATGAGCGACACGGTTTGTGGCAGTCGTGATGCCGTAACTAACTACAGATTTACGACAAGGGTGTTTTGAGGTAATCACCAAGCAGATATTAGGTGGCCGCAAAAGACAGTATCAAATTGGCCAAGCAGTATCCACTGGCCAGACTGCATCCATGTGCCACCCAATTTGATACTGTCTTTTGCGGCCACCTAAACATCTGCTTGGAGATTAGTTTTGAAGCAGGCTGGACTGTTCCACAACTGATAGGGGTGAAAAATCTTCGAATTTTCTGTGTGTTCCTCTTTGTGTTGGAACTAAAGTTTGGCTTTCTTTCAAGGTATACTACTGTAATTCATGGCCATACTTTATCTCAAAATAGTCTTAACAACTTGAAAAAAAATCTGAGAAGTATGATTTCATATGAAAGAAAACTCATTCATGAGTCAACATGATGTGTTTATTTCCATACATCCAGCTATATCATCTATAGGTGTACATCATATTTCCGTGTATTTGTCTGGACACCAAGATAATGCAAGAATTGCACTTTACCTCCAACCAAAAATCAATCAAAACTCTATGTCAACATTCGTATGAGGCTATATACATTAACAGTAAGCATTTTGGTTGTACAAAGTGGACAAAACTCATATCTAGACTTGCTCGAAATTAAGTAAATACAGAAATACAAGTTGGACAATCTCCACACAAGGCTGCATTACTTCTTCCTTACTGGTACTAGTAAAATAATTATGACCAATAAACAGAAAAAAAAGTTTACTTTTAAAGCTACAAATATGATACATTGTATACTATTGTCAAACACCTATACTTAAATACAACCAATCAACCAACTACTTAGTATTCTAAAATTACGGTTGTTTATTCAAATCATTGAAATAAAACAAATACATGTACATACAAGACTACAGTACCGGTCCTTTTAGCAAAATCTTTTACAGCCATAACCCAAAACTACATGGACCAATCACTAAGAATTAAGCATCACATCAATTCCTAAAGATACAACAGGTCTTTAGATTGCCATAGATATTTTAGCATATCACAGATGAAAATTCTTGACATAGTTGTAGATTGTAGCTTAACTCTCTATGTACAATAAAAGTCTGTTTAATTGATAGTACCATAAGATGTTATAAATACTCAAGTGAAGGATTTAACACATTCACCCAAGGGGTCACAAGCAACATAATGTGGTGAACACTGGAAACCTGTCTTTCCTTGTTGAATTATGTCAAATTAGACAAAGAGCACCAAAGGTGGTGATATGGCTAGCAAATCTGGGCATTTTACATAAGATACAAAAACACTTCCCAACAGTCAACTGTGGAAGTTGAAATAAGGATAATGCTGATCAGTAACTCATAATGTCTACTGATATACACAGTCAAGAACTCTCAGTCACACAGTATCAACTGTGTGGCATGACAACGACTAAAAAATACTAAGAGATATTTTCTTGCCTCTCGTTGAAGATATTCATTTGTCACCTATAGTTACAGTTACTGGAGAATTATTTCAGCAGTGACAAGTTTTGAAGGGTAAGAGTACTGACCTCCAAATTTAGTCATCGAAAATTTGGAGGTTAGTACTCTTACACTTCAAAAACTTGTCACTGCTGAAAGAATTTTCTTGCCTCTAGAATGCACTTCCTTTGTAATGATATCTTTTGCATGAGAACAGTAGTTGGAATTTTTCATCGTTCATCAACTTCTATGCCAGAATGTTATTTCTGATCAGTTCCCACCGAGGACGTTCCCCTGCCCCCACCCTTGATGCTGGTTGTCGTCGGGCCGCCTGCGACTGGCTGGGGGGACTCCGAACCCTGACACACCACCCCTGCGGTTGGGAAGGTACCTGTACCTGGGGTTGAAGGGACAAGGAAATTTAAATACAAGTACATGTAATATCATGAAAGTTCATCTGTGTTGGTAGTTACATGTTTAAAGTTAAAACTTTTGGTCCAACACAAAAAGTTCTCTCACCTAGAGCTTTCGACCAGTCACTGGGTCAGTCTACTGAGGAAGACCAGAGTGACTGGTCAAAAGCTGTAGGTGAGGGAACTTTTTGTGTTGGACCAAAAGTTTTAACTTTAAACACAAGTACATGTATGTATTTTTTTATACTTCATGTTGTAATGTCATGGACTTTTTGGTCCACACTACTGTCAACAGAAAAACAATTATATATGTACATAAAGGATAGGGAAAAAATGTTGTGTTAATCAGATTGAAATATTCATATTCCTTGCAGGGATCCACAAAAAGGCCACGGTCGACAGATTTTTCTAGGGTCGGTCAGGAAACAGGTAACACACTATTTTTTTCTTAGGCCTAATATTCCATAAACATAGAATCTCCAAATGTTTCTTTCTTCATTGAATGTTTCTGTCTTTTTAGGTCCATCCTTTTTCTACCCACACCCACGCAAAGGAATAAGATGACTCTGACTTACAAGATCTCTGGTGTGCTGAGGAAGGACCTGCCTCCAAAGTCCTGTGGATACTTGAACATCAGGAAAAAGTACAGATGTCCCACAAAGATTCCCAGTAGGTCAGTCCATCCTCTGTAACAGAAGACAGGCTGGATTTTTCAACATGATATGAAGCTGTCATTGTAAAAGTACAACTTGTACTCATCCAGTGCATACAGTATATAAATACATTTTGTATAACAATGGAAATATGATAGGATAAAGCCTACAACTCCTTGGCCTAATCTTTCTCTGAAGTAGTACGTTCATGCAGTACAAACAAAGGCACTTACCCTCCCCTTAGGATCATATTGAAGCCTACCAGCACCCATGGTAAGTACATGGCCTGCAAAGAAACAAAGTTGCAAAATGTAAGTTTTGTCACTCATACTGGGTATCAACCAAATACAATGTGCATCTTTTCGGAATTGTACAAAGTTGAACTTGACAAAATAGTTTGCAAAGAAACCTATCTGAATTACAGAATGTAGGACACAAAATGCTCTGAGTACTTAAAGTACATCCAATGCTTCATTAAAAAATTATTTCAGAAATCCTTGAAAATGATTACATCATGCATTCAATGATCATATTAGACATGACCAAACGATACCTTGAACTGTGTTCCGAACCAGAAGGATACGATCATGTCCCTGTTCAGCTGGCACCAAACATACAGCACTGCTAGGATCATGGGGTCCATCAGTAGCTGAGGAGATCAAACATACAGGGAGGGATTGGTGTTGAACCTTACAACTTTATTCACTGTAATATAAAATTATTCTTTATCTGTCACAGATAGTCATTATCTTTCTACATTCAACTCATGTTGTACATTCAACAACAGAGAATCTGTTTCTTTTCTTTTCTTTACAAAATGCCTTAACACAACTTTCAATAGTTGACATAGAAGAACAGGCTCTACCTACCATCAATTCTGCCATGAATCCAATGATCTGGTGAGAAGAGTTAAGAAGCCAAAGATGCAGAAATCTTCTGGGACCATTCATTTGGGTGGTTTGAAATCATGACAAACTTACTTAGTACCAGTACCCTAGTCTTTGTTCTGTGCTCCTAAACTTGGGTGTATATTTTATGAGTTATCAATACAAATATACTAGGTATGAATGCAATGACATATCATATCATAGTTTTGAAAAAAGGATACAACAAGACACAGCCATTGGAATATCAGCATGAAGAGATAGTCAGCTGGTCTGCCATCGAAGAGACCTGCAGGACATAGAAGAATGAATGTGTGAAATTTAAAAGACAATGTTCCAACATCATAGACATTTACTGATCAAACTGCAATGTTCTTGACATCTTGTCCTATCTGAAAGTTATGAAAGAAATTGTCACCTTTCTCTATAACTCTAATGACTTACGTACATTCAGTAAATGTTATTTTCGTTTAGAATTAGACAGCACTGGTTATTGTACTTATCCTGATTCAAGATGCTTGTACAGACTAAGTACAAGCATAATGTGAAGCAACTGATAAGGTACAATCTAGAACAATGTCCTGACAAACATAACAAGTCCAATGATGAAGCTTGTATCTACAGACCTGTCTCCAGCCTGGTGGAGTAGTTGTAGAGAAAGTACAGGTTGATGAGATAGTGGAAACCAGTCTGTGGCATCAGGGGGTAGAAGAACAGGGCAGTGACTGGTCTCCAGATCTGTGGACAAAACAAACATGTAACGTTACCATTTATTACCATGCCATATGCTCTGAAGTAACCCCACATCATCAATGGCATTCAAATATATCTTCCACCTGTATACATATCTGTACATATGATATCAGTAAAATCTTTGATGTATTATAATAATAACGTCATTATTCCTTTCCATTTCTGAGTGCTAACTGACAATTTTATGACTTAGTGTGGCCCCTACAATGAAATATGACATATGGCATATTGTCATCAGAATATAAATAACGATAATCTATCATTCCTGTGCCTCAAAGTAAACCAAACCTGTTGTGAATTATGCTGCGGAGGTCCAATTTGGTAGGAATGAAATAATTTGATTTATAATTAATAATTTATGAATAAATAATTAAATTTATTAAGTTAGAATCAACATAAGGAGGGTCTGATCATTTTTTCTAAATCTCAGATTCTGTGTTCATGTAGTTCTACCATCGATACGCAACCGGATTCAGTTCCAGGATTTTACATAACAAACTCTCACGTGTACGTACACTTCCTTAATTGAGCTAGAGCTTCCACAATATATAGCCGTGGCGACTCTTGACTCGGGCTTACATTGCATTACCCTCTGCAAGAGTCGTGGAAAGATCCATTGGCAGAACTGCACATTTCCCGTTGGCTGCTCGATGCTCCGTTTTTGACCCGGTTTTTTGCTGTCCCGAGCTTCCCTACAATATAACTCCACAATTGGCCGGGTTGCCGATGTTCAGATCGGCCTAAATATTCCACAGCGCGACGGGAAAGTACTAAAATAGCTAGTCGGTACATCCGCGCCGCCATTTTGGATATAGTCGGGAATGTCCGCTACCGCCGTCGGGAACGCTCGGTAGCGCCACGATTATCGAAGCGGGACCGAAAACTCTCCGATCATAACCGGAAAGCCTACCGAGCGTTCCCGACGGCGGTAGCGGACATTCCGGACTATATCCAAAATGGCGGCGCGGATGTACCGACTAGCTATTTTAGTACTTTCCCGTCGCGCTGTGGAATATTTAGGCCGATCTGAACATCGGCAACCCGGCCAATTGTGGAGTTATATTGTAGGGAAGCTCGGGACAGCAAAAAACCGGGTCAAAAACGGAGCATCGAGCAGCCAACGGGAAATGTGCAGTTCTGCCAATGGATCTTTCCACGACTCTTGCAGAGGGTAATGCAATGTAAGCCCGAGTCAAGAGTCGCCACGGCTACCACAATATAGTGATACGATGTATGTATAAAATAGGTGATACCACTGTGGCTTACTTATCATATCAACTAGAATGGCATTAAGCCATTTCATAGTTCACTACGAACCACCAGCGTCATTAGGTTCTCACCTGGAAGTGGTAAACCGTCATGTCCCAGTGTAGAATCATGGACATCGCGCTCACCAGCCCGATTCTACCCAGGAGGGGGAGGGCGACGGACAAGGCGAACCAGTACCGCGTTATAAGCGGGATACTGCGGAACCAATCCCCGATATCACTCCCTTCTGCCATCTTCGAACGTCTGACGTGTCTGTCCTGAGAAAAGCAGGTGGAAATTTTCAGAGACAAGTGTAGAAACGGCACGAAATTTTAGACCTGACGTGGCGTAACACAGTGCAACGAAGCTTATTTTCCGGTTTCTCACCGCAGCTAAACATGAAAACCACTACAATAATTATTTTACTCTAGATAAAAGAATTTTACAAATAGTGCAATAAGAATAGTAGATCCTTGCGTGTAGCATTTAATGATTTCATGATTTAGAATAAAAATTGACACTTGTGGTAGTTTTGGTAACTTTTATATATCTTCACCTGTGCGTTTGCCTGCAACTCAATTAGAAATCTCGAACATTAAAACTACGAGAATTTGCGAGATTTCACGAGAAGTCGCCCAAATGCCGCCATTTTACGAATCCCGGAAAGGTTGAACTCATATCAACACAGTTTTCCAACGTCTATGATAATTGTGCGAGGCCTCAATTCGCACCGGAAGCTTAAGAACATATCAAAAACATCAGGTATAATCGCTGAAGTGAGGTGAGATGTTGCGATTGCGAGAAAAATAGGGAAACAACTTGCAGTCCGTGGGATCAACATTTTTCTGTGATGGCCGACTGGGTCCACTGCAACCTTTGCTTTCGCCAACCCGGAGATGGCAAGAAGTTCCATCTGACCAACTGTGGACACATTTACTGTGCCGACTGTGTTGTAACAGGTACTTGATACAATATAGTTATTCTTCAGTTCAACTAGACTCGTTAATTTTTACCGTGGCAATGAGTAGAACCAGGCAAGGAGATACTCTCCAAGCAGAGGTTTGGGGCCGTTTGGGTTTGGGGTTATTTTTGGCGTGTTACACAACAGTTGGGTGAAAAAAATTCCAGTGCAAAAGAGAAACCCCAATAAAAAAAAAGCCTAAAAACACGCCAAAAATAACCCAAACCTCTGCTTGGAGAGTAGGAAGGAGATTCAAGTAGGATCAAAAGCATTTTTTGAACAGCGAAAGAATTCACTGAAATCTGCTTATTTCTTTCCATTCTTGATTGTAGTTGTTTTACTTTGAAATAACAGGTGCCAAAGACAGATGTAAGATGTGTGGCGGCAAGTGCACAACTATCATACTTTCAGCCCAAGTGAGTTTGAAAATCAAATCTTCATTCAGTTTTATAATTAGAGGTTTCACCTTTGATACCTTGATTATGTGTCCAATACACACCCACCCATAAGAATGCTTTTTAAAAATATTTTTATCCTATAAATGCTAATACTATCAATATCACTGTCTAGGATATCATTAATTCAGGGCAATTTTCTCTGCAGATGAAGCCAGATGTTGAGATTTTCTTCACAGACCCGGCAGAACTGGCAAAGAAACAACATAAACAACTACTACAGGTGTGGCCCTAGCCAACTTCTCTCTTAAGATACATTTTGCTATCATTTTGCTAACACCCCTTACCTACATGTTAGCTTAAACCATTCTAGTTTGATAGACTATTTTTGCTTTTGAGGATCTGATAAGAATGATCATTTCAATGTAATATTACTAAACCCATGGAGCTCCATGCTAAACCCACGGCTAATTATCTGGTATGTCTGTTTGATTTCTTTGCAGGTCATCGATTTCCAAAAGAACCACCGTCAGAGACTGACTGCCTACATGAGGGAAAAGGTAGTAAAGTCACTATATTTCATAGCTAATCTGTATTATGACATGGCTTTTACCTTTGCCCAAATTGTGTGTCAAGATATGGTGTATCAACTGGCAAAAGTAATCATTGTACTTTTTTCCAGGATGTGAAGTTTTCAACTGAAATGAAAAAGGTCAAACAGCAGATGGCTCTCCAGGTGCAAGAAATGGAAAGGTACGAGGGAGCAAAGATTATTTGTTATGTCCTTCTAGGGACTGAATGTTTTAACTTTTAAAGCTAATTAAAAGACGCATTTTGTATCATTCTTCTTCTTAGATACTCATTATGCATTTTTCATCAACTTTTACCATAAAATTATTATCATGTGGATAGTAAGCAATGTCATGTGTTGTTTTTTTCAGTGAACTTTTTAAGCGTAAAAATGAAAATGCTGAACTGAGGCACCTTCTAGGTGGAAAGGTACGAAATAAGGCATTTCTCAACAGAGATTATTTCATTTTTTTTACAGGTAATTCCTGTCAGACATCTGTAGTTCCTATAATGTAACATGGTCAAAATGTATGATCTCCAATGGCCATTCCAAAAATAACATTTCAAAAATAATGTATTATGAATCTTTGTTGCAGTATTCCATGGCAGGCAGGCTTTCACAAAGGTACTTCCAGAACTGTCTTCTTATTACTAGTTAAAAAGACTGACATACAGTACTACAAAAAAAGATACAGCATGATAATACAACCATGTCAGTCAGTGTGAATGCAGAAATAGTTCTCCATTGACAAGACTGTATAAAATTGCTGATTTAATTTATCATTACATAAGCTTGTTCTTACTTGCCTAGTCTTTGTGTTTGGTGTTCTTGAAGTCATTTGTACAGACCTGAGACCTGCATATCTTTCATTTTAGGCTTGTGACCTCACCCCACCCAAATATACAACCAAGAAACCATAGTGAGTATAGTTCCCATTGCTGTTTTGCATTTTGTAATTTCTTTATTATTGGGCTAACCAAGGAGGTTAAATACATGTATTAACCTCCTTGGGCTAACAGGCACATTCTTACCATACATGTTAGTTTTAGATATGGTGACTGCCAGTTCATATTGACTAATAGGAAAATGTGTTGCCATGTGATTCATGTTAGGAACCCCCTCTCCCTCCCATGGACCACAAAAGTCTCCCTACACAACTGGAATCAGCAAAAGCTTGCCCTGCACGTAAGTAGAATAATGTAGCTAACAAGATCAGTGTTGTGTTATCATAAAGGGTTTGAAGAAGTTGGCAGTGACTAAGTCATAAAACAAAACATAGAAATTGAAGCCTTTGAAGTTTTGTCAATGTGAAAATGGTGCCAGTAAGACAGCTAAATCATTAAAAAAAGTGACATTTGTGTGATAATGCAGTTTAGAAATGCTTGTAGATGTTCTCTTCAACTGCTGAGAAGCAAATTAACAATATAGGCAGAAATACATTGACTACAGGCTGAAACTGTTTTCAATCCTTTCTTTCAGGCCCAATATGGGTGACTCGCCTCTTTCAGTAAGTTATCCTATTGTCCTTTTATGTTTCTTTCCATTGCATTTCCACAGTTGAAACTGTATAGAATGGAAGTACAACAATGTATATTTGTAGTAGGCAATTCAGTTCCAATGGATACAGCTTTGATCCAAAGCATACATTTTAATGATAACGTGTACAATTATGGGAAACCTTCTGTAACTTGTACATGTATGTGGTTCTCCGACAGGGAAATCGCACACCAACAGGCCCTGCCAGGATCACCATGAGGACACCACCTATTGATGGCAAAATGGGTAAGATCTGGTCCATAAACAAATAGGCCAGCTTTGTAATGAACCATTATTAATTAAGTTTCTACTATGTATACATTGTTAGGCCACAAAATACAAATACCCACAGAATTCATCTAAGTAATAGCAACAGGATTATCAGCACCTTGGACATGCAGGCATGCATAAATAAGAATGTATTTCGAGCTCTGCTAGAAACAAATGTTGCCATGTAATAATGCACAATCCTCCTATCTTCCTTTTATTCCACAGGAACCCCTCCTGTGGTCCCTGGTTTAACCAGAACTCCAACAGGACAAATCATAAGGTGCTGCTACATTTTGAAATAGGTTTGGTAGATAATAGCATATATATTTCTCATTACATTCTTTGTGTACATGTATCTAGTTTTTGATGGATTTTTCTTCAATCCCTTGTATTTTTGGAAGAACTTGCATCTTTTTGGTATAAATTTGTGGGTATTTGAATTCATGAAGATCTAAGGTCACCAATACAGACTTATATGATGCCTTATTTCAAAGCGTTCTGAGTGAATTGTTACTTAATGATTCCAACCCGTGATATGAATGCTTTCATTCCCAACATCATGAACGTGCATGTTACAGGACCATCTCCAACCCAGGCTCCCATGGTGACTCAGGTTCCTCCAGTAGCTCCCAGCAGTGTGCAGGCTCTCCCATGTCCACAGGATCATCTCCCAGGTAAGACTATACATGTGACTAAGTCTGTAACATACATGTTCCCGGCACTAGAGTCAGATAGTAGATATGAACACCCCCAGGTCCAAGTTAATAAATGTTCCATTACAAGATTTGCCAAACCAATGGCAATCTTTTCCCAGTTAACCAATGCAGAATCATTTGACATGGGGCATTCTGACTTACCACAGGTTCCAATATCTGTTGTGGAATCAGGCAGACAGTGGATGCTGCTAAACCTTGTACTCTAGGATTGTGTTAGTGATATAGATTGTTAGGTGTGCTGATTCCTGGGCTTGTGGTGGAAGAGGTTGTATTACTTCTTACACATAGGCTTGTAGCACTCCATTAAAATACTCCATTAAAATACTCCATTAAAATGGGCTATGCTAAGTTACATATACATGTATCAGAGGGGGTGCTACAAGCTATTTTCCTACCTGTAACAAGTTGTTCGCTGTATGGGGAGCATATCGGTGTTTTAAAACATGGTGTTGTTGGTGAACAGAGGTGCAGACAGTAGAATTGCGAGCAGCCTGAGCTTGTTTGCGACTCCCAAGCGCCAGTTACCGTACAACAGTCCCAGCTCCCAACCCACCACTGTACATCAAGGTAAGGACACTCTCTCTAGCACCAACTCTCCAGAACTTTCACCAGCAATATCAAATCTATTATTGTGATAAAGCAAGATGAGGTTTATGTTCTCATTTGAGTTGGCATAGCCTGCAAAGTAGTGTATGATTCTAACAGTTACCAAAGTTGTAGGCTATTAGACTTGCCAAAATTCAAAGGCAGTTCATGTGTTTGCTACCTGTAATGACAAGTCTACATACATCTTTTCCAGGTCAGCCTACTACATACTCGTCAAGTCAGACCCAGAGCAGCCAATGGGACCCAAGCAAAAGAAAGATCCATGTAGGTTTTACATTACATTATGTTGAAGCTATGAATCACATATCATGACATCGAATAGTACATAAAGATGAGCATTAATCTTCAATGTTTTAGTGGAAATTTAAGGCTGTAGCTGACTTTTTCTTCCTTCTTCTTCCAGTTGAGCTACCAGCCAAGATCTTCACATCTTACGCCCAACAGTTATCCGTAAGTCATTGTTTACAAAGACCACATTGTGTTTAAGGTGGTACTACTAGGTAACAGACATGTAGTTGCATTATTCATGGCTGATCGACTTGAATCAACTATAGAGCAAATTTTGTAGAATGCAGTGTACTAGTACATAGTCCTACGTGCAATGCATGTATGTACCAGTAGAGGGCAGTGCTAAACTGAGTAAACTACTAGTTTTCTAGGTGGCCATTGTTACACTGTTGATTGAAAACAATACATTTGTGTCATGCCATTTAACCTACAAAGAATTACTGACAATCAATGTGCTTGATATAGCCTGGCATGCTAAAGGTTTCTTGGTAATTTATTCTTCCATATCATTTATAACACCTATTCTCATGTTCTTTCAGTGCTGGGTCCAAACATGGAACTCCTGCTCTGAGCCAGCCAAAGTGACCATGTCTGGGTGGGGTTACTTCAGGACAACATAAAGAGTTACCTGAAGACATAAAATACAATGCACTGTTGATGTAATATGTTATGTGTGACTTGTTTGTTCATTGGCACTGTCAGGAAATCCTGACATTTCTTTTACTAAAAATGAAAGTACTGTACCCAGTAAGAAAGTTAAATTTCTAGGACAAACAAAATGAAACAAATTTGGAACAAACCAATCAACCTCAGTTCTCAAGATTTGGGGTTGAAAACACTAAGAAAGGGATAGGTTGCATTCTTTGTAACAGTCTGAAAACACAGCAAGTGGTGGACAGTGCAAAACTTTATTTCACTTCAAAACAGCTTAACAAATGGAGCAATACAGTTCCAATTGTTTTATAGACTTTGTATAAGAATATTTACTGTCAAAAAAGATTCAGACTCTCAAAAGATGTATTTACTTGAAGCATATTTTTCTGTTTTTCAGTCAAGCTGTTGCAACAGACCAAAACATGATAAAACATCTTTAAAAACATGAGAAGCTATTTGGTTCTCTGTTCAAAAAAAATTTTGGTATCTACATTATACATCATTAGCCTGTACACTTACTTATCAGTAGAACTGAAAACAATCTCATGTTCAAGTTGAAATGTACATCCACACATCAAGTTCTACTTGACACAATGTATGAACTTGTTTTACCAACATAGAACAAAATTTTGTTACCTATTTTGTAGGAAGAGAAACTATATTTACAAGTTTCATTGATGGACCTAAATTGACATTCAGAAGAATTAAAAAAAATTTCAAAGATGCAAAATTTCAAAGATGTATATTAAGTAAGCTTGTACCATAAAGGATTTCAACGATGTTGTATACAGTTGTAAACATTTGATTTTCTAATAAACATCAATTGCAAGACTATAAAAAAATGTTCTGCAAGATATTCTTTTTCTATGTTACATGGATGTTGGATGGTCTGGTTAAACAAAAAAAATGGTGTTGGTCCATCTTATGATCTGATGGAGTTTGCAAACCATCCAAATCTGATCTCAAGTCCTTGTAGATTAGTGTAAGGCCACACCAATTTAATTTGTGGGTTCTTGGATTCGCATTTTTATCTTATTTGCAAAAAAAAAAGAGAATTTAGGTTCTGAATTATCTACAAAATGCTCATATTTTGGCCCCAATAATGGAAGTCTTTTCTTCCTAATTGTTACAGTTTTTCTATGTATCAATGTGGTGGTTTGATTAAAAGTTAAAAATTCATTGTATAAGTTCAAACCAGCCTTGTATGTTGACTTTATGGCTCCTAACATAGCATTTGGGGCTATCATAAGATGCCTAAGATGCTTGTTTTTATTTTCATTTTTTTTTCATCCTGTCGCTTCATATTTTTTCTGAAAAAAAAAAGTGAGAACCAACAAATTAAATTGGTGTGGCCTAATTCTGGGGATTATTACTAATCTTAAGGAATAACGGTACTCTATGGCATGACTGGTCTAGAGGCTTCCCCCACTGAGGTCATCATCATCATCATCATCATCGTCTACTTGAAAGCCTGGAGGAGGCTGTGTCTGCCGAGTCTTCTCAGCCAGCTTCTTCCTCATGTCTCTCACCTCCTTCATCAGCTCCTGCTCTCTTCTCTCAAACGTCTGACGTCCGCGGTCCAAGGAAACTAAAAGATGGGATATACGTGATATTGAAAAATAATCTCTGTTTTAATAATATTAAGTTTTTGTCTCTACATGTATGTTTAATGCACTAAGTGTTCTGTTGTAGCTTGTAATTAGATCATTGAATAGTTAGGAAGACAAAATGTTATCAATGATCAGAAACTACATGTAGTACAAAATGTAATGAATTTTTTTGGCAATTGCAAAGAGATATTTTAAGAATTTTACTGAGAATTGAAGTTTGTGGGTAAGATGCCACGGTCAAAATATAGATACATTTTGTACACATGTACAAGTAGCTTTAGCTACAGAGTAACCTCTATTGGAGCAGCTCATACTAGGACATTAAATGGGAAAATATTGAGAAAAGAACATTATAAATTGACTTACACTGTGAGGATGCTTCTGATCCAGACCCTGAGTTGTTCAGACACCTGTTCTCTGTAGTATTCCCTCCCACCTGACCACCATCTGGCCTTCCCTTGTCCCTCAAGTCTCGCAACCTCTCTAGACAAGTAGAGTCAATTGGCACACGCATTATTAACAAGTTATAATTTCTTGGTACTGATTATTATACAATTTTGATTTACCTCTGCATACTACGTCGGCAGAACGTACTGCGCCTGCGCAAAACCCCTTTTTTACGGTTTTCGTTGGATTTTTGGTAAACGTTGCATCAGAATTTTGCCTGTTGCTGAGGCAACATTTTTTCCGACTTATATTTGGAAACTACAGTCGGAGTGTTAACCTTATATACGCGAATACTACCTTATATGAGACATTCTCCCAAAGTGCTAAGCACAATACATTACGGATTTCGCGCAGGTGAATTACGTTCTGCCAAGGACGTTCTACACAGAGAATGTCCTTGGTCATGGCGATATGCTCCTCTGCATTGATTATGGATGACTCTAAATATTACACACACATCTGCACTGCATACTAGTCCTTACCAAAGGACGACTCATCCTGTCTGAGCTGTTCTGTTAGCTGCTGCTCCTCCCCCTGCTCCCCCCTCAGTAGGTCCATCCTCCTCTGCTCCCCCTCCAGCCCTATTCTCCTCTGATCTTGGAGATTTGCCCTCCCAGCAGCTTCCTCCTGAAGCTACAGGTTACATTCAGGTCACGCCATCTTCATCATTCAATTGTTAGGCCACATCAATTGAATTTGTTGGTTATAGGATTTGCCTCTTCGTTTTTTTCTGGTTCTGAATCAACTCAAATATGCTCATATTTTGCCCCCCAACAGTTGAGGAAAGTCCTTTTCTTTCTGGTTATTATAGTTTTTCCATCCAGCAATGCAGTGGTTTGATTAAAAGTTCAAAATTCATTGTTTAAATATTAACCCAGCCTTTTGTGTTGACTTAATTGCTCCTATCGGCGCATTTTGGGCTATAATAGGATGCCTACACCTGTTTTTATTTTTTTTCTCGCCCTGTCGCTTCATACTTTTTCTGAAAAAAATCTGAGAACCAACAAATTAAATTGGTGTGGCCTTACAGTTTAGAAAATTGCCATCAAGGGAAGTGAGCACTGCCATTACTAAGGACTGGTAACATCCAAAGTTCCCAGTTGCAGTGACAGGCAGGGCCAATGTGAGAAAAGTTTTTTATGGCTCCCCAACCTTGTGTTTGTCAATCATTCATTCAGTAGGTGATGGCTTTAGCTTTCCTGAAATTTACTGTAATGTGCAGTAAACTGTTGAAAAATGTAAAAAATTTTAAAAAGTTTTTGAATTTTTCAATCCTTAAATTGCAGTCATGAGATCAATCAAAAAAGTAGGAAATGGCTTTAGCTTTCCTGAAATTTACTGTTATGTACAGTAAATTTTGTACAGTAAATTTACTGTAATGTACAGTAAACTGTTGAAAAACGTACAAGTTTTTGAACCTCTAAATTACAGTCATGAGATCAATTATGTCTATCACTCTTTGAGTTTTACTGTTGCCAGCACAAAGTTCATGCATGGCTGAATCCATTAGGAGAACGTGTCAAACACGTCTAGACATTTGAAGGAAGTAAAATCCTGAGGGAAGACTCTGAGGAACCCAACGATTTGTTTCTTGCTGCCATTAGCATGCCTGTGCCGAGCAAGGTTAATCTTCTAGGTGTCAATGCAAGGCTTAAAGCGAGTTTCTAAATGTTACTTCCACTGGGATATTCGCAAAGGGCTTACACAGTGAGAGTACATTGGCAGGACCACCACCCCTAAGGCCACATCAGTAAGATAAGTGTACCGACTTTAACAGCCACAAAGTCTGCCTACAACCCCAAATGAATTACCTTTCCAAATACAGCAGTACATGCAGTATCTGTATGGACAGGCATGGCAGATCACCAAAAAAGATATACATGTACCTGGCAGCTACAGACAGTGACAAAAAACTCACTTGGAAGTCTTTGAAGAAATGATGGTGTGGTTTTGACAGTCACAATATGTGCACCATCATATGGGATTACAGTGGCAGCCAGTTAATTGCAAAACGCTTATAAGAAAAAGTCTGCTAATTGAAAAGAATTGTGAAAACCCAAACTGTTTCCCATTGACACCATTGTTTATCGCGCCCCTTATTTGAAAAGCCAATGCCGGCTAATTGAAAAAAAATTGTCAAGTTGCAACACATTTGCAACCAAAAACATGCCAAACAAATCACCAAAATCGGCGGAAAATTTCTTATACATGTATAATACAAAATGCTACAAATGTATGTGGACATACCTGTTTATTCTCTAGCTCCTTCATAAGCTGGTGTACCTCTTCTTCTACATGTCTGTTGGCTGCATTCATCTTTGCAAGCTGTGCAGAAATACAACATCTTAATTCACCTTTACCATGATAGCATTGAAATACAAGTGCTCTTGTAGATTCTGAAGCAACTTTTACCATTCCTAAAAATTACTGGTTTGCAGGAAGAGATTCAGTATTATCTCTGATTCTCAACTTTAATTGCTTGTCTGCAGCCTAAAAATTGCTTTTAAAAAAAGGCTTTTTGGTGCATCTCCAGTGATGTACCTGTAACATGCGGATCTCCCTGTCCAAGTCATCCAGCTGCTGTCTGTGCTCCACCCTCAGGTCCATCTGTGTGTCCACATTCTGCTGCTCAGCACGAGCCAGGCCACGCTCTACCTCCTACAGTACAACACATCAACTCTCAACAACCCACAACACACTACTTGAAAGGAGCTGCCAATCATATTTAGCAACTTTATGATAAGCTGTTGATGCAGTTTTTTTTTCAAAAGTTCAATCTACAATTTGGTGCATAGGGGGGAAACCATCTCCAGCTCAATAGCCCTTGGGCCACACAGTATGGTAGTGCAATCACCACAGCATGTACTGGTAGTGGTGTGTGTTTAACTCCCATACTCTTCCCCAAATGCTGAGTGTTTAGCAGAGAAAGCAGTAAGTACTATTTTTAAAGTCTTTGGTATGACTAGGCCAGGGATCAAACCCACAACTAACTGAATGCAAGACAAACAATCTACCCACTAGGCCATTGCATCAGTTTGTTGCAATATCACAACCTATCATTGTTGCCCTGAAGAAGGCGACAGACAGTCACCAAAATGTCAGACATGAAAACACCCACTGTTGTTAAAACAAAGACAGTCTATGACCTCCCCTGACACACCAGACACAGCAGTGCCCCTCACCCTCCTGATGATCTGTTCCCTCTCCCTCTCCAACACCCCTATCCTCTGCTGTATCCTGTCCTCCAGGTCCTGCTGTCTCCTGTGTGCGTCCATGTCGGCACGGCGCAGGAACGATGCCGCCACCTCGTCACGGGCCAGCTCCTGCAACAGTTGCTTGTCATTTTAACTAGAAAGGTGACATTTGGAAAGCAACTGCATAATGTTTACCTTCGCATATGGTCAGTGCTCTGTTAATTCTTACTCAAACACATTCAAATATCTGGTGACACAGGAGTCTAAATCCCTCCTGCTATAAAATGATTTAACAATGTGATGTAACCCAATTCTAGTCACCATGGTGACAGCCATCTGGTTCAGGTCATTGACCTTATTTGGAAGGGAAGAAGAGGAAACAGAGCAAAAACAATATGTTTTCCTTCGGTAAACATAATAAAAATGGGGGAAAACTGGGCATTTTTACTCTCTAACATCAATATCATCAGGAAGTAAAGTGAAAATAATCACTAGTGAAATCGCTAACCTTTAAAAGCTCAGTCATTATTCATTCAACTTGCAAAGGTCACCATCTCTTTTAGATGATACATGGCATGCTTTCTCAAAATGTAACACAGGATGCCGCTTGATAACATTACTACGGAAGCATGAGCAATTTTATGCAATCTCAAAGGCTGTCATTCAAGTGACCTCAGTCAGTGAATGTCTGTGGTACTGTTTTAGGTACATCAATCGGCCACAATTTTTTTTCATGTCTGCTTATGAATTTGTGTCTACAAAGGGAAAACAAACTGTACCTGCTCAAACAGCCCTCTCTGAGCATGCAGCTCCATATTCTTCACTTCCACATCATCTATGGCTGCATGTGTCTCCTGCTCCCTTAGTCGCACCTACAAACAAACAAACAAAAAAATAAACAAACAAACATGTTTCAAGCACATTCAATAACCGTCCAGTCAACAGAGACTGGTAAAAATATCTTGAAAATTGAACCATACATATTCGAAATTGAGTTTGGGCCTATTTTACAAACTGTACATATCTACATTTGTATAGTAGGACATTAATATTTTACAAGTCCTTAATTAGCTGGTAACAAAGTTATATATTAAGTACAATTGATTAATCATATGGATGCTGCCACACCTTTCTCTCAATCTCATCATCCAGTCGTTTCAGCTCAGTCTCCTTCTGCCTCTGTTGGTGCTCCATGAAGCGCCGCCTAGCGGCATCGAGTAACTGCAGCTCCTTGACCCGCAACTCTCTTCTCATGGCGGCGAGCCTGGGGTGAAAAAGATTTCCATTTTTATCGAATAGTCTGGAAATAAAAAGTGGTAGGTTCCCAGCAAAGGGATTAAAGTGCCGTGTTTCAGATCCTTGTATCCATAGATAACAAGTACTGCAAATGACAGTGTGTGGTACATGTATGTAGTATGAGTGACTAAATTGCAATATTGCAATGGAGCAAAAAAATGTTGTGTTCTTCCCTTAAAATGAAGCAAAGGAAAACAACGGTAATAGCTTGTATGCAATCAAAAAAGGGTGACATCAAATGAAAGATGACGCGATTCTCTTTGGAAAGATGTGACTACCTCTAGTGATTTATAAAGGAACTGCAGAATAGGTTTGTGAATGATACCCCTCAGTCCCAGCCCTCCTGTGGTTTTGGATCTGACCTGGGCTGGTGTGTTGTATTACCTCCATGAAAAATTTTTTTTGGTGTGTCTGTCTGTGTGTCTGTCTGTGAGTGTTTCCGCACATTTGTAGCAAGCATGTCAAGGTCAAATATGGGCTTCCTGGTGGATATATTGCCAAAGCATAGGAATAACACACGCAAAATATTGTAATTTGAGTTTAGAAAACCATAAATTAAACTAGATTATGTTCCATAATCAATGAGACGATTCCCCCGGCCCCAAAAGCATGAACTTTTTAATGGAGGTATGAAATCTCTGAATTCTTGTTTTACCTGACCCGCTGGGCTGTGAGTTTCTGCTCCTCGTCTGCGATGACTCTCCTCCTGGTCTCCTCTGCCTCCTCCAGTAGCTCCTGCTGTCTGTACCACGCCTCCTCCTGCTGTCTCTTTCTCTCCGTCTCTCTCTTCAACTCTTCTGTCACTTGTCTACCATCAACATTACAAAACAAAAACTCTCAGCAATGGGAATATAAAAACTGAGTGTGAAAAAAAATTGAGTAGGCTAAGGTATGTGTTCGATGTAACAAACTAATCACTAACTTCAGCATGTCTTAGCAGTGTTAGAAATACCCATCTGCAGTCTCCATTTTGCAGAGATATTTTCAATATTGTAGAAGAGAAGTCAAGCAACCGGCAATTTTGCAGACTGAAAAATCAGGCTAGGGTTTCAATGGTGTTTAAGAGCTTTTGTGTTTACTACAGACACTATACAAGTAATTTTGTATGCATTTGTCAAAGTGCATGTAAAAAGTTTACCACCGTGCAATTTTGCATATGCCATGGGTTTAGATCTGGACTTTTAAGTGTGTATTTGCAGAAAGTATTTCCGAATTGCAGAAAATTTTGACATTCCTGCAACATTGCAGAACACTGAAAAAAATGTTTCTACCACTGCGCAGTAAAAACGATGTGGCCATACCAAGGCAGCTAAATAAGACAAGGATAACGTCACTGCTTGAGAAATCAGAAAGTCAATGCTCTTTACTCACCTTTCCTGCAGGTACTGGAGTTCTTCTTCTCTGATTCTCTCCCTCTCCTTAACCTGGGGACACAAATCATGGGTGACAGGTGAGAGCCTAGCAGGTCAAACTGTAATGTTACGTGCGGATGGTGTATTGATCCAAACTAACACCTAACCCATCCACAGGACCTTAGTTCCAGTGAGGTAAAACTGATACGATACATGAATGTTGCAGCTACAACTTATAAAGATCATGTTTGAGACAACAGATTCTTTAACACTTGCACTTGAATTTAGCTTTTACCCAAAGCCTTCCATCCATTCGAATTAGTATCTCCACTTTTTGCACATATTGCTGCTAGGTAGGAATGTCTTGATTTTCTTATATTATGTATTGTAGTACTGTACTTTGTAACCAGTTACAATATGTTATCTTTATTTCAGGTCTGTCTTGTATTTATTGTAGATTTCTTTATTTGATGTTTGTATCCACGTTTGTATTTGTGGGTTATCTGATACCAGTCATGACTGCCTTGATAACCTGTGTATTGATCTGTTGTCATTGCCAATAAAGAAAGAAAGAAAGAAAGAAGGAACAATGATTACCGCTGACTGATAATCAACCAAAATATTTTCATGAGTAGAATACTTTTAGCAAGTGTTCTTTCTTCATTCATGAATAGCAGATGCTTGAATGAGTCAAACCTAAAAACTGTCTACTGCCTGATGCATGAAACTTTAATGACTGGAAACACAGTATGTGCTGACCATGACGGCATGGCTGGCATTACCTGGTAGTCCACTATGAAGGTGGGATATTTGTTGAAGATGGGATACTGTCTGGCATTACCTGGTAGTCCACTATGAATGTGGGATATTTGTTGAAGATGGGATACTGCCCCCGGGTCAGTGGCTGGAAGTCCTCCATCACCCGGCGGGGATGGATGTCCTCCGGGGTCGTCTCCTGGAGCCGGTACGCTTCCCTAATCACCGCGCCGATGTCAATGGCATTCCGATGGTGGAAGAAGTACTGCGAGGAAACGGCTCAAAATTCATTTTTGGGAATAGGTGTACTGGTGCACTCGACCCAAGAAATTGGGTGCATACATTTTTTTTAGTGCAAGATAAAACAAATGTCAGTAAAAACTAGTTATGTTTCATTTCTAAAGAAAAGTACTTTAACAATGATTTTATCATTTTTCTGACACTTAGACTGAATACTACTATATATTTAACATTTTTCTTTAACTTACATTTAACTTACATACATATACCTACAAAAACATTTGAAAAATATCAGAAAAAAATTGGGTGTACAGCTCCAAATTTAGGTGCACATGCACCCAGTATTTCAAGCCCTGCCATGTAATAGGCAAAGAGGATTGGATACAAAGATTCTTATTCCCATCAAGAAGTACTGTGAGGATATGGACAGAATTGTCAATTTGGAAAATGGTCTGATTGCCCATGTCATGGGGGTAAAAGGAGTGGAGAAAGAGGTCCTTATTCCCATCACAATAACTACATGTAACTTGCTAAATCAGAGACCATGAAAATCAAATTGACATTCCATAAAATACTCCATAAAAGTACTTTAGGGCAACGTACATACAAGACAGTGGTAGAAAAACTTTTTTTCTGTGTTCTACTTTCTGCAAATACACACTTAAAAGTCTGGCTTTAAACCCATGGCATAATTGCATGTTGTCAAACATGTGATTTTACATGCAATTTGAAAAATACATGTGCACTTGTATATTACAGAGACACTAGTAAACACAAAAGCTCTTAAAAACCATTGAACCCCTTTCCTGATTTTTTCAGTCTACAAAATTGTAGGTTGCTTGATTTTTGTTCTGCAGTATTGAAAATGTCTCTGCAAAATACAGACTGCAGATGGGCATTTCTAACATTGTAAGAGCAAGTGATACTGTAATTCCTGATTTTTTCACTGTACTGTTATGTTCACTGTTTTCATTGTCACTTCTGTACAGTGAACTTATCATTTACAGTTAACAAATAATTCCTGGACTTTCTCTTTCCTGCACCTGTCGCCAACGTGAACATATAGTTCGTGAACATGTCCATTTTTCTCAGACCGTGAACTTTTGCTACAGTGAACATAAAGTGAATTACATGTTTGTACCTCAAAGTCACCAACATCGGTGCACTTTGTGAGTGGCCCCCGTGCTGAGATGGCATAGGCAGCCACACACAGGAGCAGGAAGGACGGGTGGTTGGAGAAGACATTGTCAAACAACTTCAGCCACTCGTCCTTGGTTAAGACCTCTGAGAACAGGGTTTCCAACAGTGGCCATGCATATGTCTGTGGGTAAAGGGCATTAGTTTAAGAAATACATATGAATCATGAGATAAAGCATTGTGACAATAATCTGACCAAGAGAAACAACAATTTTACCATATATCATTCATATGTCAAACTTGTATAGTTTCAAATCAGTTGTAGCAACATATACTAGTATCAAGAAATTGTGTGAGGAAAATTTATAGTTAGAATCACTTCAATTTCAGCACCAAGGTCAATATCAACACAACTGTGTGTTATTACATGTATGTTTACCGAAGGAAAGCATAATGTTTTTGCTCTGTTTCTTCTTCTTTTCCAAACAAATAAGGTCAATGACCTGAACCAGTCGTCTGTCACCATGGAAACTAGAGTTGGGTTACATCATGTTGCAATTTTATAGCAGGAGGGATTTAGCCTCCTGTCACCATATATATGAATGTGTTTGAGTAAGAATTAACAGAGCAGTAACGTGAATGACCTGTGCAGTGATGTTATAGTTGATGAGATGTTGGAGGAGGTGTTTGTCGTGATAGGCCAGTAGATTCTCCACCATGTTCAGCACATTGATGGGAGGGTTGGGGAAATACTCAAACCACTGCTGGCACCAGTTTACTGCAACAGAGTAAAACATACCTAGCTGCATCTCAACATTTGCTTTCAAATAAATGTTTATCAAAGGAATACATATTGTTTTTGCTCTGTTTCTTCTTCCATTCCAAACACTGACCTCTGACCTGGTCAATGACCTTAAACAAGACCATCTCTCACCATGGCAACTGGTGTTGGGTTACATCATGTTGCAGTTTTATAGCAGGAGGGATTTAGACTCCTGTCACATATATGTGAATGTGTTTGAGTAAGAATTAACAGAGAAGACCATATCTATATCTGAAGGTAAACATTTGCAAATGTTACCTAGTTCTAGTTTTGATTCTGATTTTGATTTTGCGTATATCAAAAATAATCTACAGTAAAACTTAACAAAACCAAATGAAAAAAAATCTTTCAGTCCAAGACTTTCTTCCCTAACTCTTACCCAGGATTGTTGCGATGACCTCAAAGCAGACCATCTGATTGTTCTGAAACAGCTTGACAAACGGGAAGGCCAGCAGGGCCAGGTAGTCTGTCTCTCCGAATATTGGGGACCAGTGGGCAAGTGCTGACAACGTCCTGTGGGAAAAAACAATGAGTCTTAACTATTATTTAATTTACCTTAGCATCTCACTACCTGGATGTCTAACCATCATGAACTGAGTCTGTGTTCCTCCTACTGTGACAACATTTAGAAAGGATGCAAATAGAAAGTTCCCTGTGTTCCCTGTAACCATGTTTATGTGTACATAAAATTATGTAAATATTTTACATTTGGGAATGCATCTATATAGTAGCGACCTGTGCTGCAGTGCAATGTGAACCAGTCAGAATTGCCCTGAGGAAGGTGACAGATGGTGAATAAAACACTTGGTTGTGTAAAAAGAGTATCTTTACTCAAGTTATGTGCATGTGTGTAAATTTAACCCTATAGATACTGTCTGTACAGATTATACGAGCATCACTGCATGCTACTGTACTTGACAATGATTGGTGCCAAAGCTAATGTATCAGTGCCCAACAAGAATGTGCACTACAAAAGATCAATACAGGATTACATTTTCCAGAAGAAACACCAGGGTTCAAAATTCCCCCTCTCACACCCTCCAGATTCTCCACAAGAAACACCAGGGTTCAAAATACCCCCCCTCACACCCTTGCCGCTCAAGTCATGGTTCTGTGGGAGACATATTGGAGGCGCCAGGTTGGCGGCGCAAAAGTTACGGCTTCTGAAATAAACCGTGTCCCGCCACGGCCAGCATGTGAGCGATGCCTTTACAGGTGGCCTGTTTTACGGCTTGGCTTCTAAAACAAACAGCTGGTGTGCTGGCAACCTGAAATATTCATGGCCAACCCAGCTTTTGGGTTAGGTTGCCTAGTGGCAAGAGAAAAAAAGGGATTTCAAACCCTGAATACTCTTCAAGCAGCAACATCAGCAATGACTACCGGTAATGCTGAGGTCACATTTCCAAACCGGGGCCCATCAAAGAAAAGTATGATATAAAAGACAACCAAAGCACAAAAAAGGTGAAAAGTTAATAATGAGAACTGTTGGTGTATATTTTTGACATAAATTGTTGATTTTTCGTTAATCGAAATAACCCGGCCGGGCCCCAGTTTGGAAATGTTACTTCAGCATAAACTAGAACACCTTCAGAGTGAAGAGACTCTTTTTACACAACCAAGTCTTTTATTCAGACGACATTTCGGTGACCATCTGTCACCTTCCTCAGGGCAATTCTGACTGGTTCACATCACATTGCAGCACACTCTGGTGTCACTGCTACAGATGCATTCCCAAATGTACAATATTTACATATCTACACATGTGTCGGCTGAATAAAAGACTTGGTTGTGTAAAAAGAGTCTCTTCACTCAGTGTAGTAACCAGATGAAACTATTCACGGAAGTAGAACAGACAGTTTGCAAAGAATAGACAGGAATACACAGGAATGTGCACTGACCTCTGTAGCACCCTGAGCAGTTTCTGGCTCTTGATGGGGTACTGTTCATGGAGCCGTACATAGGAGCTGTGGACACCTTTGTCCAGCAGGGCGCTGTAGGCTGCATGGTTCTCAGGGAGCTTCAGTAACGACCTCCAGATGAACATTCTAGAACATCAGGAAAGGCATTAAACACATGACTAGAGTCAATCTCAAAACATATGGCTACAAGCTAAAAGTCTGTGCATTTTGGTGCAAAATATTCATTGGCAATCACTTTATAATGTCCCTAATATCACTATCTATGCCATACCGGTAATATTTCAGGGCATAAAATGATAAAATTGTTCTGTATGGCTTATGGAAAAATACATTGAATTCTTGATCTCATAATTAAGCTGTGAACCATAACAATAATTGTAAGGGATATGTGCATGTTTGTACATGTATGCAGATTACTGAATATACTTTTACATGAAACATGATTGTGTGTTTTCACTAAATTTATACTTTTAATGCAACATTTTAAGTTCATTTTGCCTGTGTTATACAATCTACCAGAAGGATACCTTTAGCATACTAGTAATTCAAGCAGAAAAGGGTTAAACACCTGTATTTGGCTGGGTACTCTCCAAATCCTTTCAGTATGGACAACAGTCTGCCCCTGTGTAGGCCATCTGACAGGTCAACCTGCATGGAATATTTGCACCAGTGAGCTGAATTTCACAGAAAGGGTTCACCAGCAAGATGAATATCTCTCTACATCTATAACATATACAGGGCATGACATGCACTCTGAGTCTCTCGTTCCGGAGAGAGAAAGAGAGACCCAGATACATCTAAGATTCATAGCCACAAGGCACTACAATTATAGGGTCTCTTATAAATGTGGATCTGTAGCGAGCCATCATTATCATCTTATTGCCTTTGGGCAACGGCGAAAACTTTAACTCTTACAACCCTTTTTAACAGCATATCTGGAAGGCACGATGGTTATTAGGTTGGACTGAATCCAACATTTGACGTGATTACCATACCAGTGTTAGAAAGACCCACCTGCAGTCTGCATTTTGCAGACATTTTCAATATAATTGCAGAAGAAAAAGTAAGCAACCTGCAATTTTGCAGACTGAAAAAATCAAGCTAGGGTTCAGTGGTGTTAGCATATTATTTGAGAGCTATTGTTTTTACTACTGACTCTATACAATACTAGTAATTTTGCATATTATATATTTTGAATTGCATGTAAATGTTTGCCAACATGTAGTTTTGTATATGCCATGGGTTTAGGCCACACCAATTTAATTTGTTTGTTCTCGGATTTGCCTCTTAATTTTTTTTATGATTTGCCAAAAAAAAAAAATTCTGGTTCTGAATCAACTCAAAAATCCTCATATTTTGCCCCCAACAGTTGAGGAAAGTCCTTTTCTTCCCCGTTGTTACAGTTAAAATTCATAGTTTCAAAATTCAAATTTTATCCCAGCCTTTTGTGTTGACTTCATGGCTCCTAGCATAGCATTTGGGGCTATAATAGGATACCTAGACCTGTTTTTATTTATTGTTATTTGCCCTGTCGCTTCATATTTTTTTATGAAAAAATCTGAGAACCAACAAATTAAATTGGTGTGGCCTTATTATAAATCAAGTTTCTACTATGTATACATTGTAAGGCGACAAAATACAAATACCCATAGAATTCATGTAAGTAACAACAACAGGATTATCAGCACCTCGGACATGCAGAACACGCTTCATATTCTTAATGAAAAAATCCAAGAAACAACGAATTAAATTGGCCTGATGGAGACATCTCACCTCTACTCCGGAGTCCGAGGCCTGTGTTCTGTCTGGAGGCTGCTGACCTCTGACCTTCCTGGGCACACGTGTGGCAGTCCTGCTGTAAGGTCTCACACCCTGACCCCCCGCACCTGACCTGGGTCTCAGGGTGCTGGGCACATCACTCACTCTGGACACTACAGACTTTTCTCTCTCCTTTTCAGAGGACACCACCTTCAGAAGTGGCGGTGGAGGCTGTATGTATTGGACATTTAAAAAAATGTCAAGTAAGTTTGATAGTATATTATCTGAATGATCAATGCATTAATGTGTTACATTTTACAATTTGAATATAGTACTAGGTTATGTCCAGTTAATATGTTCTTACTTTGTCTTTTGTACTTGTTTAACTAATGGCCCTTGAATACAGCAATGTTGCCAGAGTTGTCCACTGTATTACATTGTTGCATTTACAATAAAATGAAAATAAAGTGTTGAAGCAAAATACAAGTAGCTTCAGAATAAAGGAACTTTCAAATTGATGCTTTTCTTCATTCGTGGGCATCTGGCTTGTAGCAAAAACTACAAGAGAGAAAGAACATGAAAACACCAAAGAAGAAAATGAAGAAGATTGACCTTGTTGAGTTCTGAGGTCAGTGCCTGCACACTGTACACGTTGATGGACCCATCCTCCATGGTACACACAACATGCCGGCCGTCTGCACCAATCAGGGCATGGGTGATGCGGTTGTCATGACTACCGATGTCAAACAGCAGCTTGCAGGAGTGGATGTTGATGAACCTCATGATGCCATCTTGACTCAGAACACCAAGTGTCTGGAAAGGGAAACAAAATATGCATGATGTACAAAATGACTAATAAACTGGTGGATGTCCCAATTACTAAGTACCTAATACCAGCCCAGAAGAGAACAAGAAATAGCCATGCCTTCAAGTACCAGAGTTATCAACCAAGGATTGAGGTGTTCAAGAATTCATTCTTTCCTAGAACTATCGCAGAGTGAAACTCGCTGTCACCAAGTACAGTAGGGGCATTGTCATTAGATGGCTTTAAACAATGTCTGGAGTTAGATGTTCAAGGGTTAAGGTGTAACAAGTCGATTGGTGTAATGTAGCAAGCTGCCGCCGCGCCGCGTGCCTGCGAAGCTGGTGTACATGTGTTACACCAAAAGGTGGTTATACCGGCTATACAGATACAGAAAATTGCCTTTGACATGGGTATGGGTAAACTTATAGTTGTGCAAAATGTGCACCGACAAGATGAACATGTCTGCACATTGAGGAATCTATGGGGGGATTGGCGTGCACTCTAGATCTGCAGAGAGAGCGTTATAGAACTGCTCTCAGCATCATGGCTGTAAGCCAGGCTTTAGCATGCAGTGGGGAGACGCATACATCAACAAGTTCTCTGGATACATGTACTAGTACCGGTACTATTATCATTATCTCATCATCTATAGTAGTATTGCCTCAGGAAGCAGACAGAGTATGACAGCCCCAGATAGGGATCATGGGAATGTCTCATTACCTTTGGAAATTAGGTATTGAAGGCATCTAATAAGCTATTCAACATACAGAAAACACATTCACATACAACAAGACTGGCAATGAAAACGTACATTGCCATGGCGACGGTGGTTGCTGTTAGGGTTATTGTTTAAATGGCACTGCTATGATTTCATGATTTTGAGGAAGCCACCTGTTAAGTCTAGACAGATACAGTGCACTCCTCCCCTGAGTGTATAGTGAATGAGCCCCGGGGTCATAGAAAGTAGGGCACCCGGGGCAGACAGGTTTTCCAAGGGTTTCCAAGAATGTGGCCATAGATGTGTGTCAGCAAATAGACCTGGGAGACATTCCTGTGGACATTCCATGCCTGTGGACAAAATAATCATGTACAATTCCTAGAATTCTTGCAAACTGCACACAATACTGTACCATTAGGCTCCTCCCTGAGACGTTGCCAAAAAAGATACTACTCACCTGACTAGATCCTCCATCAAAGTTGTCCGGCAGGAACTCTAGCTGTCTCACAACCCGCACCTTGGGTGGCATCTGTACGATCCTCAGGAGCCGTCTGCTGTCCAGGGCCCACAGATGGAGAAAGTTGGACTTCCCCCCAGCCACAAGCAGCCTACCATCACTGATGAGGAAAAACCACTTGTCAGTCTGACAAATCTATGGTGTAATCATCCTAATACAATGCCATATACTTATAGTACATGAATTTTAAAAAATGGTATTTCGGTAAATATATTGTTTTTGCTCACTTTCTTCCTCCAAACAGTGACCTATGACCTGACCAATGACATGAATTGTTGACGTCTGTCACCATGGTGACTGGTGTTGGGTTACATAATGTTGCAATTTCATGGTCTGCTCTGCTCCTGTCACCATATACTAGTAGTACATGTATGTGAATGTGTTTGAGTAATTATAATTATGCATTTGCCTGACAAATGTTACTTCTACTCTCTAGTTGTACCAATTTGTTAATAAGAAATAAAATTTATTAATTTGTTTTGAGCAGTACATCTATACAGAACGAAATGGAATGACCTTAAATGTTCCCTTATGCCTGTAACCCATTTCATTGCGGTGAAATTGGGGATAATCCCGCACATTCCTCACCTGTCATCCTGTCCAAACCACGGTTATATCTCGGCTTTGCAGCCAATCCCGCTACATCAACATTACTATCCTGGTTACGTCAACGCGGGGGAAGATTGAAACGTTCCCGTACCGAACACTGACTCCTTATCCCCTCCTAATCCCGCTTATCTTATTGCAGGCATCGTGTTCAGTGTACTGCATACATCACTTCAATGTGCAGCCTGATCCTATATCTTTCACACACTGATATAACTTACATACTTTTCCACCAGAAAGCCCAAATATCTAAAAATTTTGTGTAACTTTCCTGATCTTTCAATGGCTGGTAAGTAGGGTGAAAGACTTTTACTGTCGACACATTAGTGTAACAAAGCAAGGGTCAGGAATCTTTGGCTTCTTGTAAAAGCAGTTCAATGGGCCCCCATTGGAAAGGTTAATGTGTTGATGGGTTAGTGCTCACCGAGGGCAGGCGAAGGCTTTGTACTGAGGACTCCTGCCTTCAGGGACGGGCAGCTGGAACCGGCACTGCAGAGTGTCGCTCTCCCAGCCGAATATGGAGTCGTCTTTGAAGCATGTCAGGATGGTGTTACTCAGTGGTACGAAGAACACCTGCACAACACAGACTGTACGGTTGGCATTCAAGTTGAAGTACAAGAATTGGCCATTCTATGAAAGATCTTTATATAGGCTGATAACTTTTTTACCATTTTACGATTAGCCCTTTTGACCTCAGTATACAAGACCATATCATACGTTATCACCTAAGGCCACACCAATTCAATTTGTTGGTTCTCAGATTTTTACCTAGCAACAACTTACTTAATTCTGGAGCTGTTGCAAAAACTGGGCTTGACAAACTGAAACTTTTATAGTTTCACATCAGTTGTAGCAAAATACATCAAAAGAGGTATTGTGTGAGGAAATTTATAGTTACATGTACAATCACTTCAATTTCAGCACCAGGGTCAGTATCAACACAACTGTGTGTTACCGTATTACACTGATAAGGCCACACCAATTTAATTTGTTGGTTCTTGGATTTTTCCAGAAGAAATATGAAGCGACAAGGCCTAGGAAAAAAAATGTTGTGTTTCCGGTTACCCGACCGACCCTATGAAAAACCCCCCGACCCTAGCCTTTTTTGGGCCGACCAAAAATTTCGAGCGGCTAGCGGTCGGTTTTCAAAATTGGGGATTTTATCCCCGATAAATGTGCTTGTCATTCCAATTTTCTTCGGTCGGGCGGCGTGGATCGAGCGCTAATTGCACGGATCGGGCCGCTATTCAATTCCATTGTCGGCACAATCCTGTGAATTGACGATGAATTGTCGATCTCGCCATGACGCCACAAAGAAAACGTTGTCATTTGTAGAAAATCTGACACCCCGCTGGCGTTTCACAACAAAATTTTCATGTAAACAACTCCGACTGTCTTTGTTTACATCGCGAAAGCTCACCGATACAAAGTAAAACTCCCGCCGGCCGGCCGCGCCCGACCACATGGTTGCGGCATGGCGCTAAGTTTTCGGCAGCTCGACGGAAAAATAATCCATCCCCAGAAGAAATGTTACGCATGAAAATAACAACTACAACTTGTTTTCCTCGTTATATGAGTTTTTGAGGCCGTAAAATGCTTAAAACGGTTGAAATTTGCTCGAAAAAACGGCCCGAAAATTCACGGCGAGAAAGACAACATGGCCGACCTGTTTTCACAATAACAATGGTCAAAGGTCAGGATAGCATCCAAATGTATAGATACATGTAATAAGTACATATTACAGTGCTAAAACGATACTTTAAACGCATGAAAAATATTTTTTCGGCTACAACTGAAATAAAAATTCAGTTATATTTTAGTAAGGTTAATTTTCAAACATTACTGAGAAATTTTCCGAATTAATTGGTTTCTTGTGTAATATTGTTGTTTCTATGTATGCGCGGTTGGATGCTGTCATTGTAAAGACCCTTTACATATTGGGAGAATCAGATGAGATATTAGAGATTATCACGCTTAGTACCGTGACCCGAGTGTCTCTCAAAAATTGTTTTTGAGTGGAGTTTATAAACATGATCACATTTTTATTTGTTCAGCTGTGTCAATATGTGATTTGTTTGAGAAATAGGATTTGGTTTAGTTTTTAATATATTAATGTCAGTTGACATCTTTGGAATAAATTGCTCCAAGTTCCAGGTAGTAAATACATGTACATTTTGTATCATGTATTTTTCACTTATTGAACTTGTGGAAGCACCGTTGGCCCCCGGTTAGGGGTCATCCGGGGAACCTATGCCCAATTTTTTCAAAATTAAGGGTAGAATTTTTTTTGAACATGAGGATAATTAAGTACAGATCTTGAACCTTTCTACTGCCTTATACATCTGCAATTGTACAGAAAATGTAGAACTGAAGTTGCAGGA